TGCTGTTGACATACGGTCCACTTTTTTTCACTCAACTGATGTGGCACCCATGTATCGAGCTTCAAAGTGTACCCAACCTTTTTTAAACGACGAAACGCAGTTGATTTGCTGACGTTCAATTCACTGGCAACCTCTCCCGTCGAAATACGTGAGTTATTCGCAACTAAAGTCCTTAGAACATCGTCATCAAGCTCAGAAGGCCATCCACTGCGAGGTTGATTTTCGAGGCTAAAATCTCCATAACGAAATTTCGCGAACCATTTCTTTACTATGCGGAGTGCTGGAGCACGGTCCAAATAAACTTCGCGAATATCTTTAGTTGCAGCGCCTACTGTTTTTCCTTTGCGGAATTCGTATAACATAATATGACGCATATGATCTTTTTCATTGTCCATCTTCCATGCGTCTTTTCACTAAGCAACTCAAATCAGTTCGGACTGTCACCTTTCCAACGATATATAATATGTATATATTTCTTTCACGAGCGCAACTCTCAAACGATTCGAACGGCATCCAGCGGAATCGGGCACGAACTTATGCACTCATCCAATATGTATGTATGTATGTATACAATGAAATACGAAATAATAGTTCAACAGTTGAGTAAAATACTTTTCGCCAATATTTATAAGGAGCTGCGCACTTTACTAATTTCCCTTCCACTCAGCGTGCGCCGCTGCTGCTCATTTACGTAGTTTTTTTTTTTTTTGCTTTTGTTGTAGCACATTAAATCAATTCAAACCATAGAGAGAGAGAGCTGTGCTTTTAATTAAATTTTCTTTTTAAATGCATTTCCAGCTCATCTACATACACGTATTTATACATATAAGTATATTTGTGTTTGTGTATTAATTTCTTCTTCTTCTTTTTCAATTAAATCATGCACCACTGACATTGCAAGTCATTAAATGTGCAATAAAGTTGTGATTGCTGTCATTTGCTTGCTCGTCTGACCCGTGATAATACTTACAATCACAGCTTCGTTGTTTCATACATATATATATATACATACATTTATACATACGTGTATGTACATACAACCAGCGATAGCATTTCACATTTGCTTTTGCTGCCACCTTTTTTTAATTACCTCACCTCCGGGGACTCGTTAGCGCTGACCAGTGTCTAGTGAGGACATTGAAAAAAAATACAGAAAATACGTTGAATGTTATATCCTCAGATTTCGTTTTTCTTTCACTCTTCGCGCTTAATTAGTTGCTCATCGGTCGCAATATTCAATTCCCAACCCAGAGGCAAAGCGGGCGATCGGCCGCTGAGGTGAGCAATAAAAATGCAGCCAAATGATTGACAGCTGTAAATACAGCAACAGTTATTTGTTAAATATGATACATACATAGTATGTATATATGTATGTATGTATGTACATACTCGATGTTTATTTGAAATTGTATTTAATTGATTACAAATCAATTTGTTATTGTGTAAATGTGTGAGATAATCTTGAAATATTGTTTATACTGGCAGGCAATTGGAGAGATATACATACACATTTACGTGTGTGTATACATAGTATGTAAGATTGTATAGTTATTTATTTAATTAGATTTTTTTCTGAAAATCTTTCGCAGTCAATTATTAATTTTAATTAAAATTCAGATTGATTTTTCTGAAAATTAAAAAAATTTTTTTTAAATTTTTTTATAAAAATTTGAGCCTTTCAAGCTAAGTGTTGAAAAGCATGCTGCTTAATAGATACAATTTTTTTTTTTTTTTTTTTTTTTTTTTTTTTTTTTTTTTTTTTNGTGGAATATAATACTAAATTCTTATATTCTTATATACGAAAATCCAGTTTTCGTAGCGTGATGAAAATTAACAAGAGCGTCAGGAACAAAATCAATAGGAATCAAGTCAATCATACCAAGGTCTGCGCAAAAAAAAAAAACGCAAAAGAAAGAAAGTTCATTCAAGAGGTCTTTTTATTCACAATAAACTAGCGCCAGCAGCATATTTTCGAATAGTAGTACTCATTCTGGTATCCAATTTTTATTAAGACCATCAGCGCAGTATGCGTAAAACGATATCCATTCTTAGGTCTCTACCATCTTGAAAACTTACACGGGTACACGGCGTTTGAGACATAATTATGATGTTGCATTTAGAAAAGAAAAAAAAAAAATCGAGAAAGAGAAAAAAGAAGCGCTGTCTTCGAGCATGCCATGAACTGTTGACGAGTGAGCATAATCGAGATGCAATAACATGAATTATTTCTTCATAGTTTCCAGAGAAAATATTTACGTCGCCCACATAACCTCAATACAATGCGCCTTCTTAACTGTAGGACCTCGCGAGCGAACTAATCATGCAACAGTAAGTGAAATTTAGACCTACATTGTGGGGTTTGGTCTTTTGGACTCTCCTGAACTCTTTCATTTTATATATTTAGAACTCGTCGTTAGTTCTGAATTGTAAGCAATCCAGCTACAACTCCTAGAAATTCATCAATTTTTGATCGATTTTTTATTGCTACATTCTTCGTGTCAAAACTTTTTGTGAGAATTGCGTGGCATAAACTAACCAATACAGCGAGATACCTAGCTTCTTTCTGTGACTTTCTACACATTTCTCAATCTCTTTTCCTCGTTTATTAATGTACAGTGGTATATAGAGCGAGCTTCGTCAGTAATGTCTTCTAGACCTTCTTTGAAAATCTTGTACCACTTGTAAGCATTTTTTTCTCTAAGAAAATATTTTTTTCTAATAGCGGTTGCTCCTCGGAAGGGAATGCCAAGCTTCCTGAGTATATTTCCATTTGTTGTTGTTGAAAAAAGAGACATTAAGTCCCAATGTCTAACTGGGGGAGAAGCTTGACCGAACATCGCAAACTGAAATGTGCAACATAAAAACTTGCTTCACGCAGTGATATGTGTTTTAGTGTAATTATAGAAGAAAACACAAAACAATGAGCGACCCTCAAATAAGCAGTTGTGGTAAACATTAAATATAACTAGTCGAAAATCGATTGTTTCTCCAAACTTCTCCATAGATAAGCCACCAATTCAAAGTAAGTTCACAATGGAGGCGCATATAAAAAATTCCATTGCATACCCATAGGGGTTTATTAGGCTCTATACATATACATACGTGTATGCTGTCAACTTTTTATATGCACTATTAAAAATAACTGTAATCTATACTACTTGCATAATAAAAATCAAATCTCAAATCTAAAATTATACAATATTTCCTGGAAAACATTTAAATAAATGAACACATAAAGCAGTGAAAATGAAATGAATACAATTTTAGGAATACAAATATTTACAATGAACCCAAAAAGTTTTCATTGTTTATGTTTTATACTTGAAAAGATCATTTGTTTGCGATTTGTTTACTTTTTTTTTGTGTTTAATATATGAAAATCTACGATTTCGAACGCGTGGGCATGTTAATTTCACTCAACAATGCTGCCGCTTTCCATTTTCGCGCAACCCTCCCTCTCGCTGTTATGTCCCTTTCTCTTGTACCCTGCCCGCCCGGCGCGTTTTTGTTAAACTGAAACTCAGTTGGTCCTTTTTTCATTTTATTTTGAATACCTGTAAGACATAAATAATGCTCTACTCGTACTTGGTATAAAAACTACAATTTAAAGAGAATTTTACATATGTATGTACTATTTAATATGATATAATAATACATACATATGTACGTTCATTCAGGAATATTCATTTATCAAAGAACATTTTTTTTGTGAGTTTTGCACACTTGCACCACAATAATTTACAGCTTTATTGATTTGTTAAATATTTTTTCCCAATCGTCCACCTCCGCTGTCAGGAGGGCCTTTCGCCAATAAGTTCGTGTCTGCGAATTCAATTTATGAAATATTTACGAATGCGCAAAATTTAAAAAAAAATTGGAGCTTAGTCGTCATAAGGTTAATTTATTAAAATTTACTGTGAAATTTAATGTTTTGACGCGTATTTTTTTGTTGTTATATTTTATATTAATATGTTATATGCAGAGTATAAACATAAATAAAATATATTTAAAATAAATTTTTTTTCATGAAATTACTTTTTTATTATAAAGTCAAATGACCCTTTCGTGACTTTTGGCAAACTTCGATCGGTTTGAGAGCATTTCCGAACGCCTTTTGGCGCATATTGGCCGGAATCTCTTTCGCGTATCCCCACAAAAAAAGTCCAACGGCGTCAGAACGCACGATCTCTCTCGACATCGACAAGTGATTGCGCGTTCGGAATATTTGTCACGCAATAAAGCCATATTCGCTTGTGTTCTGTGACATTTGGCAGCAATTTGTTGAAACCACATTTGTCCAAGCTGTGTTCTTTAATTGCAGGCCGATAAAGAATCGATTATCAAACGATCATAACGCTCCTGATTGACGGTGATAATCTCGCCGTTGTCCTTTTCAAAGGAGTAAGGTCTAATCACACCTCCGCACCAAAGAGCGCACCAGACAGTTAGCTTTTTTTTTTTTTTTGATGTAATGACCTCTCTTCAGTTATTTGAGGACTCTTGCTTATTTGCATATGAAAAATGTGCTTCGTCGCTAAAGAAAACTATTTTTCGAAAAATCCCTTTAAGCTCTCAATCGACGTATGTTTGAGGTTGATAATGGTCTGCTAGCTTTAAATGTGGTGTGAGCTGAACTTGATGAGGGTGTAGGAGAATGTCGGATTTTCGGTTATATTTTAATTTACAGTAGGATATTTGAGGTAAAACGAGCAAAATAATGATCCAGTCTCTTCAAACTTCTTTAAAATTTTACCAATTGCTTGAAATTTTTACGCGTTGTGCGATAGTAAAGACAGATATTTATGAAAATGTATCGCTTAACAACATTTTCATAAATATCTGTCTTTACTTTTAAAACCACGAAATGGATAACCCTATATATATATATATATATATATATATATATATATATATATATATATATATATATATATATCCATTAGTTAACTTTTCAAATTCTTTCTTTAATGCTCTAATAAGTTGTCTTCCTTTTGTTTCAGAACACATCGCCGCTCTGGGAGGACTTTGTTACGAAGGCCACGAAATTGCACCAATGTTTACGGTAAGTGCTCACGAACTTTCCAACTTTCGTCCGCCATCTCAAATTAGCCGACTTGAAATTATCTGGTATTCCACTTTGCAGAATTTGTTTATCAGAGCAAATCAATTGTTTATTTTATAAACAAACACAAAGCGAATCGAAACAAAAAAACTCAATACTGAGAGTGAGAGGTGGTTTCATTATGGAAAAACATACAAACTTGTATGAAAACCTAAATTTATGTATATACTCATCGATTTAATGGTTGAACTCGATATTTATTGCCAAATTGAAGGAATGTAAATTTTCATTTGACCCAAAAAATTTGTTTTAATTACCATTGCTAAATGCGGAATTCATGGCCTATTTTTGGACATCGCATAACAGACTTATGAGAAGCTCGGCACATTTTTATGTATATATTTACTGGTGCAATAGTTGTTTTCTCACTTCAAATAAAAAAGGTTTTAATGTCTAAATTTCGTTTGGTTTAGAAATGAATGCTTGCAGAGTTTTTATTCTCATAACATTTTATGTTTGGCAATTTGGTATAGTTTCCCTATTTCAATACATAAAGTTTTGGGAAGCTATCGTCGTGTAATATTTTACCATGTGCTGCAGATACTGTCAGTGAAAAAGGTAACGAATGGTAGGAAACTGTGAGATTTGTCGCGCTCGGAGCGAGCGAACCTCTGGCAAAAAGTTTGAACTACAAATTGATCCGTTAAGAAGTTTGACTACAAATAATGCTCCCAAGATTTCTCTACGACTTAGGGGAGTCGATACACCAAGAAGCTTTAAACGATTGGTATACGGAGAAAGTTTTTTTCTAGAGTCCCATGGGAAATATCTTAATGCAAAAATTAAAAATTGTTTCTGAACAGACTTTAACTTATCGGAATGTACTTGAAGTGCATAAGGCACTTTAAATTCTTGGGTCTTCTGTTATCACGGCCTGCATTACTAGCTAGAAACACCATCGCGGTCATATCTCAGTCATATTTGAATGATTGGACTTCCCAAGATTCAAAAGACCTACCATAAAAAGCAGATCAGAGCTCCATTGAGGTTCAAAAACACACTGACGCAATAGAATTTTTTTAGGGAGAATTTTCTTAAGGCAGAAGTCTGCGTTATAGAAGCTATTCTAAAACTATCCAAGAATTTGTAGAAATAGAATCTATTCTAAAATTATTCAAGAATATGTAGAACTTAGAATCTATTCCAAAATTATCCAAGAATATATCTTCAAAATTTCAGTGGTCAATTCGCCAGTTTTAGGCGGTTCGAATGATCGGGCAGTCTTTGTTGTAGCGCTTTTTCTCGAGTGATAGCGAAAATATCAGGTGTACAACGTTGCTTCCGCCGTTTTCCGATATGTGGCTGTACCGGCTGAGACTGGTTGAAATACATAGATGATAATGCCTTCAAAGTGAGTGTGGACAGTGCCTAATGAATTGCCATCGCCGTTTCAGTGACAGTTGTTCTTGTTTTCGTATTATTCACGCTCGAAAATGTCCGTTTATGTGCCTAATTCTCGCCATTTGCGGGAAGTTTTACTTTTCTGTTACATTTCGAAAAAAAATGCAGCGGAAGCGCATCGAATGCTCTCAGAAACTTACGGTGATGCTGTTCTGAGTGAAAGAACGTGTCGGGAGTGGTTTCAACGTTTTAAAAATGGTGATTTCGATGTCGAAGACAAACATGGTGGTGGAAGAGAATCAGGTCGGTGTGATTTACTACGAGCTCTTAAAACCGGGTGAAACCATTACAGGAGATTGCTACCGAATGCAACTGATGCGCCGTAGTCGCGCGCTAAAAGAAAAGCGGCCACAATATCAAGAGCGAAATGACAAAGTCATCCTCCAACATGATGTCGCCTTCTGACTTCCACCTATTCCGTTCGATGGCACACGACCTGGCAGATCAACATTTTCAATCCTTCGAAGAATTGGAAAAATGGATTGCTTCATGGATGGCGTCAAAAGAGGACTCCTTTTTTCGAGCCGGAATCCGAAAATTGCCGGAAAGATGAGAGAAAGTTGTCGTTGGCGAAGGAGAATACTTTATAATAATATATCTGTAAGCACTTTTTCGCAATAAAGCTTTCAATTTTGGAAAAAAAAAACGGCGGAAGCAAAGTTGTACACCGAAAATATATGTCCAATCGCAAAAAATCAAATGATTTAGCTTCAGTTTTGCTACTTGCAGTGATTTTTTTCCAAAAAAGTGAATTTGAATTTTCCCAACGTCTTTTTTAGTTAATGTATTGTATGTAGAAGAGCACTTATAAAAATAAAAAAAAATGTGGCTTGGCTGTTTCAGATACAGGGCACTCTTCAGAACAGACAACATTGAAAAATCCAGTATTTTTGGAAGCTTAAAAAAATTAAAAAAATGCACAAAAAACGTTTTCTTTTCGGGCTCTAAAGGAAACTACTAACTTTATAGGGGCAAACCGCATATAATGCATTTTTGTGAAACATAAAAGGTGTCCATATTTATATTTTAAGCAAATCTCTCACATGTAGAAATCACATCCAATATATTGTAATATTAATTGCAAAATTGATTTTATTTTATTGGAAAAAGAAATCCAGAAAAATAAATTTTGGAATCTGATGTTCAAATGCGTCCCGTGCGACATCCAATTCGAAATGTAAATAAATATTTTTTTTTTAAATAAATTTTAAATAATAAAATTTTATTTTTAGCTTTTACTAGTAAAAATGTACGTGAAAGAATAAATAAATATAATTTTTTTTAAGTTATCACATTTTGAATTATTTTTGTGCTTAAAATAAATTTTAGAATTTTCTGTGCATGAGTCAATGGAAAAGAATAAAAATTTATTTACATAGAAATACATTTTATTTTTTTTATCAATTGGTTTTATTTCTTAAAAATATAATATGTGAAACCACGCACAGCGGATAAGAGCTGAATTTATTTTAATTTTTTCCTTTTTGTCTTTAATTTTTTTTTTTTTTTTATATTTTATTTTTTTTTTTCTGTACAAAACTCAGTTTGACGCCAAATTAAAAGATTTTCTGTGTAAAACAACCAATCACCACAAAAAAATTTCGCATTAAACAAAAGTATTGTGGTGAGAATATTTGAGAAATAATAATTAAAAAATAAAGTAAAATTTTGAGAACAGCGCTGCTGATAATTGTGTGTGCATACATACACGTTTGAGGACATACATATATTTATTCATATGCATGTACTTAGATTCTAATACTCATGCATAAATTTATAAATTTTCAAATTAAATTTAATGCTCTTTTATCTCTGTTTATTTGCAGTGCCGCCATTCAGGCAATCGCCGCTTATTTGGACGCCTTCCAAAAAATCGCAGACGCAGCAACAAATTCAAGAGGTAAGTTCAAACCCCCAACGCACCAAAAACGAAGAAATCTGCAATAGTTCGCACAAGAAAATATACACAGCTAAATATAAATACAGTTACTAGCAGTATGAATGTGCATACTTATGTTTGTACAGAGTAGTGTAAAAGCTGCGATGGTGCTTGTTCTTGAAAGCTGTTGCTTTCCATCAGATGTTCGTATGTAAGAATAGGCGAGTACCGCAACATTGTTGCGCTCGCCAGCGCGCAGTAAACAACCGCGAAACATGTTGCGGTGTCTCGCTGTTTATTGCCAGAATCGCAAGTAAATAAACATCGCTCAAAGCGATTGACTTGACTTTCCACTAACTTGCGCTTGCAACGGTTATTGGCGGTGGACAGCTGCGCTGATCAGCCTTATAATATTTACTATTTATTTACTTTGTGGCCTTTTGTTGTTGTTCTTGCAAGAATATTAAATAAATTTTGGCGTTTTCCAAGAAACCACTCGCCATACGCGCTTTTTTTGTTCACTCACTGTGTCAGCATCGAGAAATGCAATTCTTATTGACATTCACTGACTGCGTAATGCATAATCTGTTGATTTCATGATGAAAGTATCCTATGGCAGGAATGTTTGCAACATATATATGTACGTATATTTGCTTTCACGCAGCACATCGTACGCACATGTATGCAACGGAGTTATTAAAAATATGTCGATATTTGAATACGTTAACTTCTTAAATTTGAAGTTTAGTGCATTCATTTTATTTTTAGCTTACGCTGAATTTTTGCTGAATTAACTTTTCTAATTTACTGTATTGATTTTTATATATAAAACACTAAGTGAATTTTAATGCATTAATTTTATTCAAAATATGAATTTTTGTACAATAATTTTGCTTTAACTTTAAGTGCACTGAACTTTTAAAAATTTAGTGCATTAACTTCTACAATTTGGTTAGTTTTTCTTTTATTGCAATGCTTTTTAAAGTTTACTGCATTAAATAGTTCGACGCTTAATTATTATAATTTACTGCATTAAGATTTAAAGTTGACTGTATTAAGTTTTAAAGTTGACTGCATTAAGTTGTAAAGTTGACTGCATTAAGTTGTAAAATTCATTCTTAAAATTTACTGCGTTAATATTTAAAATTTACTGTACTATTTAATTTTTTTTATTTTTCTTTCAATTGACTGCGTAAATTTTTCAAATTTACTACAGCTCTGCTGCGTTATTTCAAAACTTAAACTATGGGTTTTTCCTGTATTAACATTTTAAATTTACCAAATTGGTAATTATGTGTTACTAAATCAGGTTTTTAAATTTACTGCATTAAGTTTTAAAATTCATTGCATTAAGTTTTAAAATTTACTGCATTAAGTTTTAAAATTTACTGCATTAAGTTTTAATATTAAGTGCATTAGGTCTTAAATTTACTGCATTTAGCTTTAAAATTAACTGCATTTAGTTTTAAATATATTGCATTAGGTCTTAAATTTACTGCATTAGTTCTTCAGATTTACTACATTTCTTTCTTTATTATATTTTTCTGGTTTGCTATATTCATTTGTCAATCTTACTGCATTACTTTCTTTAAATTTCACTGGTTAAATCCATCATATTTGCTCTATTAATTTCATAAAGTGTATTAATTTTTTAAATTTTCAAGTTTACTGTATTACTTTTCAAATGTTCATGTGAAGTCGACTTGGTTTCTCTGCCTACTTCTTTCGCCCCAAAATTGCAAATGGACAAATCCTCTCAAGTCAAACTATACACTTGGCCCTTAAAATATGCGTGTTAACTGTAAATTGACCCCTTTGGAAGTGTACATTTTAAAAGGGGAATTGTATGCGCTCTTGTAACTTAATTTCACTAACGAACCTCTACTCTATCCCTTTTGTCTGCTTCGTCTGCCGCTTCACTGGCATTCGGTAATATTTACAATGAATTGTTTTTGTAATAATGTTAAATACTCATTTTCACAACTCCACAAAACTAGAACTACCCTTTATTGATGGTAAATATTTCTCACAGCGGGCATAAAGTAAGCTTAAATATTTATTACCAAGTCGTCGCCAACAAATTTGTGGTGAACCCTTCTCATAATGTTCGTACTTTCTTCCACTCAGTGGAAATGTAGAAAATATGTATTACATAACATCGCTAAAACCAGCTTAACTAACGATCCATTTATCATTTGTGTCTGTGTGTTTGTAGATAGTATGCATGTGAAGCTAAAATACTTCAAAGTTTCATTCCTGCCGTAGCTCTTATTTCCTCCTTTTGGCAAAGGGTGGAAAGTTCACTGTGTGAATTGTGGCTGAAATTTCCTTGAACAACGGGCAGCTTGGCTTGTTGTTGATATTTCAATTGTCACAGTATTAATTGTGCTTGTATTTACTTAAATGCGCACTTCCTTGCCATCGAGTTCCATCTTTGTTGCATAAAGACGCCAGAATCCTCTTCCGCATGGATTTCTTCAGCTCAAGCTTAGCTCTTGCACATATCAAAAAAAAAAAATTGAAGACAAAATATTGTATGTATCTTTTTATTAAATAAATATTAAGATCAGAACAATATCAAAAGGTTCCTTTGAATGAAGATGGACCTCGCCAAGCCTTAGATACGGTAGACTCAGCATAAGAAATTCACCGTAAGTTTGCTGTGGACAGAGGAGCGATGCAAATGGATTTGGAGGTAGACAAGACGAACCGTCTCCGGTCGTATAATAAGCACTGTAGCACAGAATCGCTCTTCTTGTTTCTTTGAATTGAGTAGACAATAGAAATATGAATTTTTCTCTCAAAAAAAAATATCCGCTCTACATACTTTATGGAACAGAAGCTGATGGCATCGGATAAGTCGTTCATATAAGTTTTCTATGCAGTACTCGTTGCTGAATACATTAGAAAAGAAAGATCACTGGAAAGATACATTGGAGAAAGACCAGGCTTCATTTGGTACCTACATTTAAGGACAATCTTGCGGAAAAAAAGGAGCGGCAGCTGTGCTGCTGTCAATTCGGCTAGAGTCATGTAAGCGATATCTGCGTCAATTATCATAAGGAAAAAATGTAGATTCTCTCTTTAAAAAGGAAAGGCACCAAGGAATTGCTTCTTCTACGTGGAGTTGTAAGCCTAGAATAGTAATGCGAAGCTTTACCTTGCGCTTTTCTATTGATCTTCCTGCAGAACACCATGAAATCTTGCGGCGAAACGCTTTAAATGAGCTTTAAGCTATAAGAGGCAGTTCTTTTTGGTGATTTCTAGCGGGTAATTGTGTGACTTTGCCGCTGTCGCTTGTCGCTTGTCGCCAATAATCTGCAGCACGCCACACACTCATTCAAGTAGCAAAATTTCGACTCTTTTTTGCGAGACTCAACTCCATGTGTACGCCCCATTCCAACGCAGCAAACGCAACCAACTCCCAACTTGTCGGCGTTCCGCACTCGTGCCGTTCGCACACTCACACTCATACATACATAGCTTGTTTGTTTGGCCACTTTACAACGGAGCACATACAGACATACAGTAGTAGTCGTATTGGTACATTGATGAACGCAACGGTGGAACTCAACGGTTGTTAACGTCATTGTCGTCGTGGTGTCGTCGTCATCGCTAAATGGGGGCAGTTGCAACGGTAATGACAATAGCAACAACAACAAGTACAATAAAATTGCAATGACATTATCTGTAGCCGCACACGCTGCTGTTTCCACACACACACACACATACATACATACATACATACATACATATCTACACAGCCTAGGCAAAGTAGAACCGACCGCCGTGTGTCAGTGGTGCATGAAGACCAGACCGGTTGGTTGTTGACCGAATGTGGCATGTACCAGCTCTTTTTTTTTTACTATGTATGTATGTATTTCGCTGCGAGTAACAGATAAACAAATAAAAAGAACTAACGGAAAAATAAAAGTAAATATGAAACACACCTTGCTGCTTCATTGTTGTTGTTAGTCTTTCTCATTTCGTATGCTCTTTGTCGTTGTTGTTGCCATGTTGACTGTTCGCTGCTGCCATCAGCAACTAATGTTGCACGAATATGCTCAACATTAATGTTGCAACACAAAGAAGCCTAGACAATGTGGCGTTGCGGGGCAGCGGTGTTGTTTTATTTTCTTTTTCTTTGGTTGTTTGACACCGAAATTTCAGGGAGATCGTCGCAATGACAACAAACAATACAAACTTATGACAGCACCGAAAATTTTTCAATGCTATGCAGAAAATTTTAGAACTTCTTTTGAACCACGCTAAAATACATACATATGTGCATATTTACAAATACTTTTTTTTTTTGTTGAGAAAGTCTGATTTGGTATTTAACAGTAATTGTTCGTACAAAATAAAACGTCCATACATACAAGTGACATGTGTATAAAATTTGTCCCATAGAAAACGAGACTGAAGAAAAGTCTCTTTTCAGGCCTTTTCAATACTTTAATACTTCAGAACTGATCCAAAATAAGACTTTGAAATGAAAAAGCTGTGTAAATCAAAATATTTATTAACCGAAAGATCCAAAAAGCAATTTTCGCTGGAGTTGATTTTCTATAACTTTCTGTAACCTAGAAGCGATTTTTTCTTCTTTTTTTCTTGGAATTTTTTATTTCATGATTTTCATGCTATTTGCCCCGCCCGAAAGATGCTAAAATTGATTTCAAATGAAGATATTTAATATAAAAGTTAAATTTATGTATTAGTCTCGTTTTCTGTGGGACGCTCATTGTATATATTAAAAACTGGTTATTTGGATTTATGTCACAATACTAAGGATTTAGCCGAAAATAGGTCAACAATATTTTATAACTAGCTATACAATGTACTTGCTATGGTTTGTTATCGAGCCTCGACTATTTTTTTGTATATAAATCTTATATTGCATGCAAATGCATGTATGTATGTAATGAAAGTAATTTTAATAATAAAAAAAATATTTTCTTTCCAGGAGCTTCCAAAGAAATTGGCACTGCGTTGACACGCGTCTGTCTGCGCCACAAGGCGGTCGAGTCGCGTCTGAAGACTTTTACAACAGCAATAATGGACTGTCTTGTACAGCCATTGCAAGTAAGTACACCTACAAACGTTCGTTTGCAGATACATATATATTCATTAAATCTACTTCATGTTTTCCAGGAAAAACTAGAAGACTGGAAGCGCACAGTGATCACCATCGACAAGGAGCATGCCAAAGAGTATAAACGATGCCGCACCGAATTGAAGAAACGTTCCAGTGACACGTTAAGACTGCAAAAGAAAGCACGCAAAGGTCAATCGGACACTATACAAACGCTAATGGACTCCCACAAGCAAGATGTGACTTTGCGTCGCGCTGAATTGGAAGAGGTCGAGAAGAAATCGTTGCGTTCGGCGATGATCGAGGAGCGCTTGCGTTATTGCACTTTTGTACATATGCTACAACCGGTCGTGAAGGAGGAATGCGAAGTGATGTCTGAACTGGGTCATTTACAGGTGCGTGTTATGCCAGTTTCTGTCCATTGTTTTTGTCATAATTTTTTCCTCCTTTCTTTTTTGCTTTTTAGGAAGCAATGGATTCGATTGCTATTGTCACGAAGGATCCCAGCGTTTTGCCGCAAACCTCCGAGGAGTTGATACAGGATACCAAAGCCACAATGACACTATACCCCGAATCGCCAGGTGGCGGCTCGGGTTCACAAGGTGGTTGTTCCAATTCGTTGGGTTCGCGCAAAAGTTCCGTTTGTTCCATTAGCTCGATGAATAGCAGTGGCTCAAGCAACTCGCCAGGACATCATCACTATCCACGTTCGCTATCGCAGGTGACTGTCGAATTTGCTGAAGCAAGGGCTTTGCTGCTAAACGCTTTTTTCTTATTTGCTCTTAATTTGCTCAAGTGAACTTTTTATAATTTTTGTGAGCATGAAATCAAGCATTGCTGTATAACTTTGATCCAGAAAGATTATAGCAGAAGCATAATTGCTAGGCCCACCAGTATAATTATTTTAATATCGGTAAAATTGCTTTTTAGATAAAAATTTAAATTCCGAACCCCCGAATTCTTTGATAAGAAACAATTTGGTGTTCACATTCTCTGCTATTTTGTTGGAATTCTTGTGTTTCGCCAATATCAGCGCTAAAATTTTGAAAAAAAAAATTCCAAAAGCAAAATATATCTAAATTGTAAATAATTTTTAACTTTTCGAAATAAATGAAAAACAATTTGTTATCTATACAATGAATACCAAGGCGAATTTGAATTCGCCTTGATGAATACCTTAATTTTTTGGAATGTAATTGAAAAAAATTTCGTAATATATCAGGTGTATAACTTTGCTTCCGCCGTTTTTTTCCAAAATTAAAAGCTTTATTGCGAAAAAGTGCTTACAGATATATTATTCAAAGTATTGTCCTTCGCTAGCGACAACTTTCTCCCATCTTTCTGGCAATTCTCGGATCCCGGCTCGAAAAAAAGAGTCCTCTTTTGACGCTATCCATGAAGAAATCCATTTTTCCAATTCTTCGAAGGATTGAAAATGTTGATCTGCCAGGCCGTGTGCCATCGAACGGAATAGGTGGAAGTCAGAAGGGGCGACATCTGGGGAATACGGCGGGTGGGGCAAGACTTCCCATTTCAGCGTTTCCAGTTACTGTTTGACCACTTTTGCGACGTGAGGCCGAGCATTGTCGTGTTGGAGGATGACTTTGCCATGTCGCTCTTGATATTGTGGCCGCTTTTCTTTTAGCGCGCGACTAATGCGCATCAGTTGCGTTCGGTAGCGATCTCCTGTGATGGTTTCACCCTCTTTAAAGAGCTCGTAGTAAACCACACCGAGCTGATCCCACCAAATACGGATTTATTGGCATATCCTAAAAACATAAAGATAATATTCATTCCTTTGCTCAAATCAGTTCTTTAAAGTTATAAAATCTACAGCATAGCCGATTATAGGTTTTTTTATATTATAAACCATTCGCTATATTTATATATTTTTAAAATATATGCGGTGCATTTGTTCTCTGCTTTATTTGTTTATTATTTTTAATTTATTTCTTCTTCATATTTTAATCATAGTTAATTTCGCCTGCAATACGCTTGAAACCTGGTGAATCCAGTGATAGTGGCTTTTGCTCATCACCAGCGCTAACCACACAGGTTTTTATTTTATTTTATTTTTTTTATAATATCATCATTATGTACATATAAAAATTATATTTTATTCACATTTTTATTTTATATATATTTTTTTAACTGTTACTCATTGCTATTTTTACTACACAGATATATAGGATTTAATTATCTGGACATAGAATTTCTCTGTACTAATTTTGTTATCTCTCTTTTGTAAGGCTTCCACTGCCACTAGTCAATCTCACGCTGTTTCCACTTGGCCACCACATTCCCAGGATGCCGTTCCTGTGTTGCCACCTGCCGCCGATCGACCACACACCATTTCAACCGCCTACGAGAAGGGTCATCAACGACCACCGCTCACTGTTTATACGTTCCAAAATCCGGAAACCATATTGGAAGGCAATGGCGGCAGCGGTAGTATACCAGGCACGCCAAATGGCACTGGATCGGGCGCTAATACGCCATGTACACAAAAATCTCCAGCTGGTGCGCTGAATCGTCCTCCATTGCCAGTGGTAGGTTGCGCTGTTTGCTCATTTTTAGATGTATGTACATATACATATATATCCATATTATCTATCTGTTTGTTTATGCGGTAATTAATTCTTGTTGTTAATTGTCGATTATGTTTTGCACTATGACTTCAGAAACCAACACGTGTGGTAAGTTTAGGCTGTACTTTTTCATCCAATTTGAATGCCAAGCCAAGTTCGTAATTAAAAAATGTCATCATCGTCAACCCAAATAATTAGAAAATATTAGAATTTGTCAAGTGCATGTCGAGATACACCACACCAGCTAGTCCATATATGATCCAAAAGTAAAATATTTCCTAAATAAGTCGTAAAATATTATGCATTTTAATACCCATCAGTACTGTATAAAATGATCAATTCATCTTTTTTTAAATCTCCTGCTCGAAATAAAAAAAAAACAAAAACAAAAAAATAGTTTATAATTTTCCAAGTTTTTTGTGCTAATCTTGAAATTGTTTTTTCAGCGTTGCTCTTCGCTGGAACGCCCGCTTTCGGCCAATAATAATCGCAGCACCAACAATCTTCTGCAACGTCAATGCCCATCGCCCATACCGGCTCATATAACAAAAGGTAAGCCATCAATTTCCTACCTCACCTCTGTCGTACCGCGAATGTTGTTTTTCCAATTTCTTTACCTCGATGTTTTTTTGCTAATTTCCCCACGAAAGCAATCCAAGTTTACTAATAGCCCTGTTTTTGTGCTCTTTATTCCCCTTTCTTATGCTTAACGTATCCTACATACAAACACATACATATATGTACATAAATACGTAAATTTACATGCTACGCCGCCCGCCGTCCGCCCTACACATGCTTTCAATGTAAAATATATCAATTCAATTAACAAACGCTGCCACCAGAGCTATCAGCGCATCATGCACAGCAACAACACATACAGCAACAGCAGCAGCAACAGCAACAACAGTTACAACAGCAAGCTCAACAGCAATTACAGTCATCTTCACCACCGCCCACCTATGTCAATATGTCGGAGCTGGCCAATATGGCGGCAACAAAAATACAAACCAACCAACAGCAGCAGCAGCAGCAACAACAGCGGCCAGTCGCTGCTTTGCAACAACAACACTCGATCGATTCGATTTCCTCACAATTTTCCAACGACTCGACTGCATCGGGTCAGCATTCAGCCCAACAACAGCAGCAAGGCGCGTTTGTCAACAACAAGGCACGTTCACATTCCGCATCCTCGTCGTCTGCATCCTCCAACACGCCCTCATTATACTCGCATCCCTCGATAGAGTCCGGCACAGTGACCACACCACTCGTAGGGCAGACCCCAACACCATCGAGCGGTAGCTCAACACCACAAAATCATTATTCACCACTCTTGACCAATTCGCCATCATCAACAGCGGCGGGTACACCAAGCGGCTGCAGTGTAGCGAGCGGCATGTTGAGCGGTTTTGTTTGTAATGTCAACTCACCAACACCACCACAGAGTGGCACAACATCAATCGATAGTGATGTGTTGAAGATTACCGAGACTGATGGCAATCAACCCACTCAACTCGTAAATGTAATCACCAATGATGCCACCGTACATCAACAACAACAACAGCAGCAACAGCAACAGCATGTAAATAATATCACTAACAATGCTGCAAACATAAACTCCCAAACCAATCCCACCGCCGAAACACTCAACCAGACACCCCATACAAATGCCACCAATTCAAATTCAGCCGCGATCGATACAGAATCCCCAACTATTGTAGAGAATGACGAACGTTCACGCGCTTCAGTTCTGCAGAAGGCTTCGATGTTCGAGAAACAAGCAGCAGCCGCGGCAGCATCCACTGCAGCAGTCGCGACCGGTCGTTCCACCAATAGCGAAGCCATATACGGCACACGTCGGAATCCGGATGAGGTCTATCGTTCAGCCAATACAAGCTCCAGTGGCAATCACTATCAGCAACCGGCGCAGCAGCCAAACTCGGAGCAGCAAGATGTCGGTGAGTAGGCATGGCAATTGGGTGTTTCCAAGGCTGACCATTTCTAGGCGAAAATATTATGAATACCACTCACTCAATCTCTGTACTCGTAAACACCACCTCAAGTGTACTCGTGTCCACTAAGCACCAATCAACACATGCACTTCTTCTATATATGCCATTCCAACTGTATAAACCCAGCAAAGTGTTCACACCAATTAGTATTCCCAACCCCACAGCTTCAAAGTATCCACTTTCTCTTACGTCACAATTGTTCTTGTCCTTGTTTTTGGGGCCAGTAAGGGCTTCAAGAGATGTTCCTAGAAGGAATCAAATTAAAAATTAAAAACAAATTGGGTTTTGTTTCCGAGTTAAGGTTAGGCTCGAGCACCAAATAAATTTGAAAATGAATTAAAATAAAAAGTAAAACAAAAGTAATTATAAAAAATATTAAACAAAAACAAATACAAAAAATCTTAAACGAAAAAAAAAACAAAAAAATGTTAAACAAAAAAAAATTAAAATATAAATAAAATAAAAAATATAAATATATATTAAAAAATAAAAAGTATAAAAAATAAGAACAGTATAAAAATTAAAAAAAAGTCAAAAATATTAACAAAATATTTAAACTATAATAAAATAAAAGAAAATTAAAACTTAAAAAATATAAACAAAAAATAGAAAAGAATAAAAATATCTAAAAATTTAAAAAATTAAAAAAATATAAAAAATAAACAAGACCAAATTAAAAATGTTGAATTAAAATAAAGAAGATTTCAAAAATCAACTATTTAGAAGAAAAAATAAAACAAAGTAAACTGCAATCAAATAAATAAAAAGAAAATAAAATAAAATAAAAAAGTAAAAAGATATAAAAATAACAAAAAAAAATTATAAAAATAAAAAATAATTTGCAAAACTAAAAACATATATAAAAGAGAATTTTAAAAAAGAAAATAAAAAAAACAAACAGTATTTTAATAAAAAAAATTAAAGGAAAAATTATAACAAATAAAATAAATTAAAAATAAACTATTAAATTATAAAACTAAATCCAAAAAAATAAAAACACAAAAGGGAATGAAATTAAAAATAAATAAACTAAAAAATAAAACACAGTAAAATGCAATAAATTGAAATTAAATAAATAATAAAATAAATTAAAATAAAGTAAAATCAAATAAAGCAAAATAAAGTAAAATAAAGTAAAATAAAGTAAAATAAAGTAAAATAAAGTAAAATAAAGTAAAATAAAATAAAATAAAATAAAATAAAATAAAATAAAATAAAATAAAATAAAATATAAAATAAAATAAAATAAAATAAAATAAAATAAAACAAAATAAATTTCTATTTAGTTTTTTACCGAAATGAAGATAACCGGAAAAATCATGATTTCAAAAAATCTCTTACATTTTAATCTCTTGAATCCTTCACTGGTTTTATGTATATACAAACATTAATTATGCTGTTCTGTTTGTCCTTTTTATAATTTTGTTGAAATTCGTTTTTTATCAAAAATAGCAACAATTTAATTGAATTTTCTTTGTTTTTCGTTTTCCCTTTTTCTTTTCTCTTCCCCCACTTTATCCGATGTATTCCTTATTGTTTTTTTTGTTTTTACAACATAAAAACAATATGTGGAACAAAAACAACAATACATGAAACACCATTATATTTTATCACAATCACAAATACAACAAACACACGAATCGTTTATGCAATATAAACAATACACCAAATCCAACAACAACAACAACAACAACAATGCCTTTCAATCAAAATGATTTCTATGTAAAAATGAATGAAAACTCCCGTTACAACTGCTCTTACGAAAAAAAACTTTCGAAATTTCTGTAAAAACAACAACTTTCTAAAACAATGAACAAAAATTGTATATAAATCCGCACACATACACACACACTTGCTACTATATGATGCACCCAAACAACAACACTTTCAACAATAAACCAATCCGCAACCACCGAACTCCACCGACACAACCACCGACCCAATTTTGTAGATAAAAGTTTTGAAGACTCGATCCAAGAACTAAATAATTTAATTGGCGAATTAGACTCGTTTCAACGCGAGATCGATGCAAGCAAGCGTTCAACCACCACTGCACCAACAACAGCAGCAACAACACCCAATGCTGACAATTTTGGAGAGAATTGTGGTGATCGTCCCTTCCCGTTGACGAGTAGCAGCAGTGAGGCGAGCACAGGTGTCGGCGACTATAATGACGCGGGTTTACAAAATACAAATACCAACACAACTACTACGGTTATAACAGTAGCGGAGAACAGCATAGGCTCCACACCGCTTACTGTTATGTGCCCTGCACGTCCACCGAAATCGCCACAATGTGCCAGCAATCAAACGAGCGGCTGTGGTACGGATCTCTCCGACGCTGCTTCCGATGACATTGCAGTCGATGTGGGCTCTTTATCGAGTATAAATAACAACAACAACAACAAGTCAAAAGATGATCATTCTAACGAGCACCATACCAGCCTTGGCATTGGCAATGGCAGTAACGGCGGTCGCACACTGCAGCAATACAACTCGGATTCGGAGCTGAGTCGTTGCTATGTAAGCGAAACGAGTTCGCTGGCGGGCGGCTACGAGAACCCCACCTTCGCGCACTTCGCCACAGCAGTGTCCACATCGTCGATAGCCGCCTCTTCGGGCGTGGATGAGCCCGCCGATGTGGGCAGTGTTATCGGCGATGGCCGTTCGCTGATGGCGGTATCATCGACAACGACGGCCGACGACTGCATGTCGCATACCTCCGAGACATATCCCATGCAATCACAAAATGCCTACAACACTGACAATGTCAGCGACGGTGGCAGTAATGTAGTTGTAATTTATGATCATCAAATACCCATTACGCCGGATATCGACTATGTCAAACAGAATTCCGAGATCGTTGTGCTGCGTACAAAGGATCCCCTACAACAACAGTTGAGTCGACAGGAAATGCGCGAGTTGACACAGTTACCGAACAGTTTGTGCGCGCCACTTGAAGGCTTGAGCGGTCCGGGCGCGGGCATGATGTCCGTACTGGCACTTTCGTCGTCGTCGTTGTCATGTTCGGTGCCTACCTCGCCGCCGCACACCGCGACCGTAACGCCTGCCAAACAGCGACTCTCCTCATTCCGCGCATCCAGCGAACAACAATTACAGCTGCTCGGCTGCGGAGACAACAACAATAGCGGCAGTGAGCTGTCACTACTGCGTACGCCGCACCTCTACGCAAACGCAGGTACGCCCCAAGCGCAAGACGAGAGCAGACAGGGAGGTAGTAGAAGGGTGGCAACACCACCAAATGCACACAACAGTCCAGATACCATAATACGCCGCAAAGCAGCAATACCACCTAAGCCGAGTTTGAGTATTTTCAACGGCCCAACGGCCAGCAATCTTTTAGAGGCTAATAGCACGCGTAAGAGTAGTAGTAGTATAAGTAGAGCTAGTTGTGAAACGGTCGGCGAGCGATTGGCGGGTACGCCCACACCGCCGCCACCTCTTTTAACGAAGGCCAATTTTAAGGCCGACTTAGATGCGAAGATTCGCAAGCAGAAGTTGAAGTTGCAATTGCAGCGTGAACAGCAACAACATCAAGAATTGTTGCAACAAAGACAAAAACTGCTACAACAACAACAACAATTACAACAACAGTCACCACAGTCAGTAGCCAACAACACCAATAGTCCAATATACCGCAGCAGCAACGGTAACCACAATAACCACAATCATAGCGACAGCAACACCAAGTCCAACAACACTACCAGCAGCGCCGGCAACCACACCAACAACACCAATTCCAACTCTAGCAACAACATTAACAATAACTGTAATGCAATTAGTTTGAATAAGCTCAGTTGTAGTACAGCAACAGCAACAACAACAACCACCACAAAAACTACAACTGCCTCCGCACCCGCATCCGCATCAAATCATTTGGCCGCATCATCCCATCACATAATTGCATCCGCATCCGCATCCGCATCTGCCTCATCCTCATTTGCAGGGCCACAGCTTGTCTATCAAAATGGTACTAAAAGTAGTAGTAATAGTAATAATAATAAAAATAAGAATAGTAGTAGATCATCATCATCTGCATTTCCTAAGGCAATCAAACAAACCCATTCTAATCGTACACCTAATTATCAATTTCATGCGCTGAAATCTCACAACAACAACAACAACAACAACACGCCCAACATTGTAAACGCTAAAACACGCCCCAAACGCTCTGCCTCTACACCAATGTCATCATCATCATCATCATCATCAATACAAAAATCATCAAACGCTATGCGTGCTCCATCTCCAATAACATTATCATCTACGTCGTCATTATCACTTTGCTCGCCAACAACACACTCGTCGATTGATCGTCGGCGCAAATATCCACAATCACCACGGTTGCAAACGTCAATGGCTGGCCAACAAAACCAAACACAAAACCATCATTCATCATCGTCATCAACGTCCTCACCATCATCCCCATCATCAGTGTCAGTCTCTTCCTGTGCCTATGCGTGTTCTTCTACTTGTGCGTCCACAGCATCACCACCACAACCACCTCCCATCCACACCAAACAATCAGCATCAGCTGCTGCCTCGGTCTCGACTGCATCCGCATCTGCATCCAATTCCAACATAAATTCCGCCATCGCCAAACCGAACATCACACCGAGACCGGCTTCGTTGTCGGGTTCGTTCGTTTGACTCTTTGACTTTCTTTTGGTTGTTTGCTTTTGTTTTTCATTCTGTTTGACTAATATTCTCTCACATCTAATTTTCATGTCTATTTTGTGCTGTATTCATTGTTCGCCTTTGAGCTTTCTAACTCTCTAACTTTGTGTTTAGATACAATTTTTTAACCTTTTTGGTTGTTGTTTTCTTAATTAACAAATCTTAATTCACTTCCTGGTTAATAGGAAATAAGCTAAAGACTGACATTATATTTTTGAGCACCCGTTAACTTTTGGGCATTTCTATTTGTTAGCCGCATAATTATCGTAAATAAACTAGACATTATTTTAATACCAAGATCTCTCGTTCAAACCCTGGTGTCGTACTAAAATCGAAAAAGTTGCTGTTGCCCCTCTGCAGGGAATGTCCACCCCTCCGAGTGTATTTCTGAGATGAAATAAAAGCTCCTCATAAAAAATGCCATCAGCGGTTACAAAGCGCCAATTATATATATATAAGATCGCTAATACTAAAAAATTTCAAAATTTCATACATACATATGTACATTTGAAACTCAAAACTAGAATTCTCGATGTCCCGTAGACTGTTAGAAATGCTCAAAACCTATTTTGAATTTTTATATTTATTTCAGTTGTTAAAAAATACATTTCTGTTTTACTTTTGAAATATTTATGGTTTTTCGGTAACGGTGTCGGTTCCTACATATTCCTTGACCATATCCAGTTTGAGAACTCCAGAGTTTTATTTTTATTTTTCAACAAATTCTTAGTTCTTTAGCAAAAAAAAGATATAAAGAAAAATATTTTAATTTTTCCCGACTAATTTTCCAAAAAAAAATTTGCAATATTTTTAGCAAAGATTTTGAAATCCAAATTCAAATTTAAATTTTCACAACAAGTTATTAACTTAAGGCATTTTCGATCCTGAATTTTGAATAATAATTTGTGAAAATCTCTCTTAAAAATACCATACATTCCGCATCACGACTGCTTCACATCGATTTTCCTTATAATCAAATATTCATAAATAAACACAAAAGTCACAGACTTTAACGCATTGCTTACTTCATCTGCTCATTTATTGCATTAACTCACAAAAACACTTGCCACGCACACTCATTTTTTTAAATATCTTTAAATTTAGTGGAACTAACTTCGTAAAAGAGGAGGAATCCTGCTCAACTAACGGTGGTGTTGAAAATTTTAATCATTTAAAAAATCAAGAAAAAAATTGGACAAGGGCTAACAAATGATTGGTGTTTACTAATAATGCAGCCGATTGCTAATTCAATTACGTGCTCTTACATATTTTAAATTTTGGAAAATTGAATTTTGAATTATTTTGGAAAATATTTTCCTAATGAAATTTCAATTAATTAAATTAGCATGTCTGACAGCGAAATAAAACGCAGAATCGTCAATTATTACTTGAATTTAGGTTTTTTCTTTCGAATATATTATATATATGTACATTCATATGCATATAAATACATACACATATATTTTAGTACATATTGTGTATATATGTAAATACTTGCATATAAAGTGATTAACTAAACTGGCCTGCTAAATATTATGGTGTCTTGTGTTTGTGCATCTAACAGTCACTACTACAGATAAATAAATTTATAAAATGTAAAAAAAAAAATTTAAAAAAAAATTACAAATAACAAAAAAATTTCAAATAAAAAAATACAAATAAAAAAATGAAAAATAGAAAAAAAATTAAAAAATAAAAATAAAAAGAATAAAAAATTAAAATTAAAAAAAAATTAAAAATAAAAAGAAATAATTAAAATTAAAAAAAAAATAAAAAGAAATAAAAATTAAAATTAAAAAATAATACAAAAAAAAAATTAAAAAAATTAAAAGAAGAAAATAAATATAAATAAAGATAAACAAATACAAATAAATAAAAAAAAAACTAAAATATATTCACATGCATATAGCGAATTAACCCTTTCATAATGGGAAATATTATAACTTCATATTGAAACACATATGTATATAAATATATTTTTTTTTTAATTCTAATTCCAAATTTGTTCTGTCAAACAGGAGGCGTAACACGCATAGCGCGACGCTCATCAGTAAATTCGGCTAAGCCACCACCGCCAGTACGTCGCAGCTCATCGGTGACGCCGAGTCACAATGCCACAAGCGCTGGGGTAAGTGAAAAAAGTAGTTCTATTTTTTTTAAACATATATGTATATATATGTACGAGTATATGCATATACATATGCCGCTGTACCATATTTCAAAAGCTCATGCAAAATTTAGGTTATTTCCTAGGTGAAATAAGAAAAAAATGTCACACTAACACAAAGATGTATTACACAAATCAAAAATAATTTTAAGCCTTAGATTAAAACAGCTTGTAAACTTTTTATTATTTTTTAATTATTTTTTTTTACAATTTATTTATAATTATATCTTTTCATTTGTTGCAACTTTTTTCTTTTTCGTTTTTTTTTTGTTTTTGTTTTTATAATTTTGCTAACTGCAAATGTAGGCTACACAATCTCCCCAACACCTGCATCATCAATCGCAGCAGCAACAACAACAACAACAACAACAACAACAATATACCCATCAATATCAACACCACCAACAACATGACATTCAGCAGGCCGTCCCTCATCATCAACAACAACATCCACCACCACCACCACCACTGCAAACATCAACAACAACAACCACAACAACACAAGATTCCCAATATGAAACTGTTGATTGCTTGCCACCACCACCCGCTTATCTGCTAGATTCAAGACAAGCTCAATCGACATCAACGCCACCACCACCACCACCAACGGCTGTTTTAACATCGGTTATGCCCAGCTCATCGTTGAAAGTTGCCGAAACGGTAAAGGCTTTATCGGCTATGCGTCACAAGCCCGCCTCACCGAATGCCATACGGCATATGCAACATCAACACCAACTCCAACAACAACAGTCGCTGCAGGTGAGCAAATGTAGTGCAAGCGTAACGTCCCTCTACCCACCCGCCATCTATATATACAATACTTCCTTGCTGAACTTGTAAACCAACAATAATTGAACCTGACGTTTAGTTTCTAGCTTTCAACCTTCGGTATTTGTTATCCTCTCGCTTTGTCCTTGTTATTATTACATTTTGCACGACAATGAAGCATTTTTTTACCAATCCGACGACCCTCCTTGTGAGGCAAATCTTTTATATTGTCGAGTAGACAGTTATTGGATGAAATTTTTGGATTTTTGGTCGGAGAAATCGGAACACGACAGTACTTTTACGATCTGAGAGACAAAGAATATCAAAGAATAGTCAAAGGCGGACAAAAACTATTTTCTTTTGTATATAATTGGCATAAAGGTTAAAGAATTAGCTTTATTTATCATTATTATACTTGGCTGTGGTATGTTTAAAGAATGTATAAGGTTTGTTTAACTAACGGTTATATCGAACTTTTAGGATGAAGAGACGAATCTATTGTTTACGATAACTCATGTAAGTCTTGAGATATTTTAATGAAACTATGGTGATTCGGATTAAGCGAACCAAGTTAGGGACGTTTTAAACGTATTAACTGGGAGAAAAAAGAAATGGAAAAAATTACTTTTGGTTCCGAAACCACTCAGCTACAACTGCGCCTTTATCCCACATAACACACTTTTTACTTTGCACTAATCAACAGAAGAATCGACAAAACTTGGTAGTTGTGCTACTTTTAATGAGGTCGCATGTCCTTTATGGCTGATTTAGGTGCAGATATAGACCCGCCTCCTCTCTAACAGTTCTTTTAGTTTTGACCCATCTGTGATGTTAATATAAATATGAGGATCCTTCAGTTCCACCTATCCATGGTAGGTTGGTTGGTTGGTTTAAGGAAGGAGGTTAAGGACCTGACCACACCACGTGTATCCCAACTAAGCTCTTGCAAAAGGTTGGCAGGAGTTCATAAATTTTTTAAGTTTCCCGATTCTTTAATTGTTTTTTTTTTTTTTTTTTTTTGAACCTGTGTACCTGTTTGTTTTAAGTTCCCACAAGCTCCTTTTTATGCTTAAAAAATTTCTTTTATTTTCATTGTTGAATGTTGCAAGTGTGCAACTATCCATTCGTCCCACTCATCACTTACTCTATGTAAATATTTTATTTATAAATTAATTTATTTATTTCTTTACTTCTATTTTATATTTTATTTTTTTATAAACTTAATTTTAATTTTCACTCGCCAACAATACTTTGCAAACCTTTGCTTACGACTATTCAATTGATCGCGCTCACACTGAAATACACTACACTAAACACGCTCACTCACACACACCAACGGCACTTGCTACGCTCTTCCTATATCTCAAAATTATCCGTAAACAATTTGCTGCACCATCCAACACATTGACAAAACAAAACAAAAACAAAAAAACAAAAAACAGCATTCACAAACACCTACACCAATACCACCACCGTCACCACCAATACAACAACAACAATCACAGAATATTTACTCAACTACCGTTAAGACATTTTCCTCTACTGCTTTGTTGCTGCCCGACTCCACCGCCTCCTTGGATGGCGAGCAGTCCCTCCACTACGATGCTTATTCGTACTACAATCCTTATATGGAGGTTAGAACCCAACTGACCACCTCAGCTAAAATGCCGCTTACTAATGCTAATAATGCTGTTGCTTATCAAACTATGCCAATAACAACAACAACAACACCTATTTATTACTATGATGATGTTGCCCATCAGAATACGCCGCCGATGCCAGTGAAATCACACCAGCAACAACAACAGCAGCAACATCACTTACAACTGCCAATTGCAGCACTACAGGACACATATGGTGGCAGTAACAGTGGTACGCCACGTTGTTTAACCATTAGGGCTGCTGCCATCACCGGTCAGCCGGTGTCACCGTCATACACCTCACCGCCACCTTATGATTTCCAACATAGTAAAATAGAGTTGCCACCTCCATTACCGCCACCCAATCCCAATCAGCAGCGTTCACTTAAACAACAACAACAACAACAGCAGCAGCAGCTGCAGCAGCAACAAAGACAGTTTGCTGAAAACCAACAACACACGGCACAAGCCACAAACACAAGCACACAATATCAACAGCAACAACAAAAACAACAGCAACAGCAACACCAACAACAAGAACAGCTTTACGATTATCTACCGTCACATCAACCCATTCACTCCCCCAAGCAGCAGCGACAGCAACAACAACAGCGTTTAGATGCTCTTGCCGCCGATCATGAAGACGACGCGTCCGTCTACAGTGACAACGCCGTAAGTGACAACGCTTTTGGTGTGAGCAATATCTGCAGAAGCAACTCGATTTTGTGTACTTTAGTGTAATTTGTAACGCATACATGTGTACATACATACATAAATGTACGTACCATGCATACTAATCCATCTGCTTCATTCTAAACAAAAACAAAAACAAAAAAAACCTAACCAATGCAAACGCCAAAGCGAAAGCAGCAAACTCATTTGGGTGTTGTAGTGCCTAACTCATGCGTACATACAAACGCACATAATAATTTTTGATTAATAAAATTTTATTGAAAAAGGAAGGTACCATTAAATTAACGAAGGAACGAAAAAGTTAGTGGATTCCAACGTAGTTTGTCATAACTAAAACACTCATACATAGCATATATACGTACATAACTACATATGTACATACATACATATATATAGACATTAACTAACCAAAGAATTAATAATTTTAGCCTTTTATATGTGACTATTTTTATTTAAATTATTATAAGTATTGTGCAAACATACAAACACGCTTTTATATTCTTAAATTTTATACGTTTTAATTACACCATCCATTTCATAAAGATATTCCAACACATCTACTCGTTATTTGGGGTGAGAAGGAAGCGCATAAAAACATTTATTTGCTTTTAAAATTTTATTATTTAAACATATTATCTGTTATCTTATGCTTTAGGCAGCCGCTCTTATTTTTAATATGTAGCTTAGCTTAATTCTCAGTAAAACACAATGAAACAAAAAAATCTTGAAATTTTCTTAAACTACTAGTTGTAAGTAGTAAAAATACATTTGTCTCACGGAAAACGAGACTGTCAATGTGGTGCTAACGGATGAAAAAATATATACATACATACTTATTTTTTACACTACATTTTTTCTTTGCTTTTTTTTAACACTTTCACAATATGCTTATATAAAGTTGAAGCATTAACAATGGGTCCATAGTAAATATATATATATTTTTAACCATTTTTAACCGCTTAAAATTTTTTAACAGAAATAAAATATGTATCCCAAATTTATATACTTTTTTAAAATATTTATTTCCATCACAAAAGTAAAATTCTTAAGTCTAAAAATTTATTTGTGTCGAAGAAAGCCATTTTTTTATTTTTTTCTTATTTTTTTTTCTTATTTTGTTGCAATGAGAATAATATGCATTGATTTTTGGCTGACTTATATACAAAATTTTAAATTAAATATTCTTTCTATTAATTTTTATGTCGAGATTTAAACAAAACTATTGTTTAATTAAAAAAAATATTTCTAAAAACTTGTTTCAATGTCCTTACGGGCTAATACTTCCTAAGAAAACACATACATATGTACGCATACGCACTAATACTAATATTTGTTGTAATTAATAAATATTCGTGATCATTATCTATCGTATTTCTTAACAAATATATTTCCATATTCACAAAAACTTTATTTAAATTCCACATAGTATTTTAAATTGTTGTACAACGTTGTAATTAACTCAAAATCAGTTCTAATTGAACTTAATTACATTTATAAATTTGATTTGTGTAACAAAAATCCTCACACAAATTCACTTTTCAAATATGAAATCCAACATCTTTACAATCATACACACATACATACATGCATACATACATAAGTACTTGTTTTGCCACTACAATTGGATATTCTCTGCTTTATTTTAATGCTTCCTCTTCTTCTTTTGCTTTGCCCATATTCTTTCACATAGTCATTCCGCACATCATCGCCTGGCATTTATGCGCAGCCGAAAGCAGTACCAAGCATGTCGAGCTTCCGTTCGGCCAGTCCGGCGACGAATGATCATCATAGCCAGCACCATCATGTTATACCACCAACGCAGCCGAAAACCAATCCGAACTTAATTGCACAGTTGAACGCGCGTCTGAGCAAACAAAATCAACACCAACAGCTACAGCAGCAGCAGCAGCATACAACAAATGAAGGCATTTATGGCTCAACACCGAATTCACCAAGTCATCACAACTTGCCACACCAGCATCAGCATCATCAAAGCGAGCCCGTCTACATGAGGAACTACTCACATCCACATCAACAGCAGCAGCAGCAGCAACATCAAGTCGCCGCCAGTGGCTCAATGCATCAGCAGCAAAACTATGACGGTAAATCGAATATAGAGAAATATAATAAAATTTATGGTAGTTTTAGCACTGCAAATCATGCAACAATGCAATCATCTCAAGCAACAGCATCATCATCATCTGCATCATCAGCAATTACTGTTTCTGTATCCGCAACATCAGCTTTGCAAACGTCATCCCATTTCTCACATACACATTCACATTCGTCATCATCATCAACATCATCATCATCCACCACTACCACCACCACCACCAACACTACTACAAATTTCAATGCTTCACCACACTTTCCGTTGTCATCCTCAACTTCATCGTTGCTCTCTAAAGTCACCTCGTTTGCAACAAATGCCGCCTCGTCGGCAGTTGCACTCTCCACACTACCACAAACACACTCGCATGCCGGTGGTGCCACCGTCGCTCATTATCATACGTCCTCGCGTGATCATCATCATCATCAGCATCAGCATCAGCTACATAATCAATATCAGTCAGTCGCATCGCAAAATGCAGCGCAAGCGTCCAAAGAGCACATGCAATCAAATAATTATTCCACCTCCTCCTCCTCCTCCTCTTCGGCCACTGTCGCCACTACACATTCGTCATCCTCCGTGCAAAATAACGCTAATAAAAATGCCGCAGCTGCACAAATATCTAAGCATCAGCCACCGACTTACGCACACTCCGCCGCTGGTGGCACGACTAGACATTATATTGCACCAACACCCATGCAGCAGCCGCAGCATCATCGCGAGTCACATCACAGCTGCCCGCCGCCGCTTGAAAATCCACCACCACCGCCCACCAATTCATCCATTTATGCTGCCACTGCCACGGCGACCATGCCCAAGAACGCTACACGCGCGAGCTTAGGCGGAGGTGGTGTGGGAGGCGCCACCTACGCTCCGCCTACATCCACCATGACTTTGCCTAAGAATCTTGCACAACAGCGTTTACAGCAGCAACAACACTATCAGCAGCAGCAACAGCAACAACACTACCAACAGCAACAATATCAACACTCTACCGCCACCGCCGGCAACGTAGCTGCTCAACAGCAGCAGTATGCCCAGACGGCTACTGCTAGTCAGCGCGCGCAAATACCATTGCCACATCAGCAACAACAGCAACAGCAACAACAACAACTATCCTACAAACAAAAGTCGGCCACACTGCAGAGCAATCACCGCCAGCCGCCGGTGCCCTCGCGCCACTCCAGCGTGCAGCAGAAGATCTTTGTGGCCACGAATCCCTTCATTCAAACCACCACCATCCACTGCCACTCGCCCGCTTCGGTGCACTCACAGCCGGCCTCGCCCACCTGTTCGTCGCCGTCGTCGTCGTCGCTGGCCAGCATTTACGGCACCAGCTCGCGCAGTCATCACCATCATCAGCTACAACAACAACACCAACAACAGCAGCAGCTGCAACATCATGCCGGCGGCGGCAACGCAGCAGGCAACGGCTACTATGCCGCCCCGCACAATTCAAGTGAGCGCGCGATATTTGTTTTGTCTCTGCATCCAGCCAAACGTTGCCACGAAAGCATTTTTTTTGTTTCTTTTTCATACATACTCATACATACATATGCATTCGTTTTTTGAATTTTGAATTTTGAATTTTGAATTTTGAATTTTGAATTTTGGATTTTGGTATTTTGTTGTATTCCATTTTGACTGACTGTCTGACATGTGTTTGGATTTTTGGCGATCCTTTTATGTTTATTGACCGCTGCAAGCACTGACTGCTGATGACCGATCGCATTGCATGCCGCTACTGATTTGCGTTTACGTACATACACATCGACGAATTTGTAGCCGTTTTTGCTTTTGTCACTTCATGTTTGCGTTAAATTTGAGTTTTTTGAGGTTTCCAACGCGTCGTGGGAGCTTTTCAGAGCTTGGAATAGATATTAACTTTAAATACCCGCCCTAGAAAAAGTACTGTTGACGCTGCATTTTGTTTCCTCATCCAACTCCATGCAGCTCTGCGTACTTATCTACTATCTTCCTAATCGAAATCTCCTAAGCTTTCTACTGCTCTCTCTCTCTCTCTTTTTTCCTCTTCTTCCAAATACTGTCTCGGCCTCATCAACTCCTTTCAGAACATCAATTGCACTTAGCATAGAAAAATAGACATTTTTTTTAAACAAATTAAATTGCACATTTGAACATTAGTACATATAATGTTATTTTCATTTATTTTGTCAAACTTTCTTATTTTTGAAATTGTATAGTTTCCGTGATACAGCTGAAAGCCCGTTAGAGTTCACGTTATAATTTAAAAATATATTTTTTAAATTAACTAATTAATTTCAGGAGAATCTTCAGTATGCAAGAGGATATCCTGCTTGATCTTTGGGTGTATGTATTTTTAAATAAAAAGATAAAAGACAAAGGTTAACGACCTCAATTCAGATTCCATCCAACTAAGCGCTGTAATTATCTTACTTTTTAGTGCACAATCTTTGAGAAAAGAATTCGGAATTATGCAGCCTGCTTAGTTTCTGTTAAGATGCTAATGAAGGTAGCGCTCTTGCAGAAACCTACTGAAAAATGGCATTTAATTGCATTAAATTAAATGGCATAATTCGAACACAGCCCATACCGCTTGTAGCCGAAAAGCTCAAGTTGGCTCGTGAGTTCCTAGAAATCCGGGCGCAATTAAGGTCTGGGTATAAACTGCCACTTCTCTAAGCACATGCCTTGGAAATACTTAAAGTATATCCAGTATGCAATGAGTCCCCAATTTTTCTCTGGTCCGAACGGACATCGTTTATTTTTTTTTTAATTTTGGTGCATTCAAACTTTTTCGAAGTTGTAAATAAATAGCAGAGTCTTGTCGAACACGTTAATTTTGCAAAAATATGAATATTGAATTTCTCTCGCAATAAAGTATTCAGAAAAATTCGCTCATTCTTCGCACTATCCTGTTGAGAATGCAGTTTTTCCAAGTCCTCCATCACACTCCGAATCGACAGTGGCATTCTCGCCGTTGTCGTTTTCAAAGAAGTCCATAAGATCACACCTCTATACGAAAGAGCGCCTCTTTTTAATTGTTCGATAATTTTCGGAACCCCAAATGGTGGCTTATTTACGTCTCAACTGAGTGAGAATATGTCTCGTGACTAAAAAAAAAATTTTATAAAATAGAAAACGACGCACCCAATGGACGTATGTACGGAGTTGTGAATAGTCAGTTGGCCTTATTTGTTGTATGAGCTGGACATTATATGAATGTATGTAGGTGTCACTCCAAGTGCAAGTACGCCAAAAACATCCCGTAAGAAAGCCCCAACTCTTAGGAACGTCGAGAAATAGAAATATTACAGTAGCGGTGTTTGAGGTGGAATGAGCAACGGCCCTTAGAATATCTGTAACCGATCCAGTTTCTTCAAATTATGTTAATATTTTAACAAGTTTTTTGAGTAGTTGGAAGTTTCAAATCTGTCAAAATTTTCAGCCCTGTACTATTGAAACAACTAAAAGAGAACCGTATAGACAGCTGTGGACATATAAATGGCACATTTTTTTATGCTTTTGCGTCGTTAAAAGTTTCATGAATCCACAAGTTTCTCGTATTTTTCTCAACTTTACTCTTAAGAATAAGTAATAACAAAAGCTCAAGTTGAAATTCATTGGTAAAACAACAAAAATAAGGGAAATGTGGAAGGGGTGTTGAAATAAGCTGAATACACAAATAGCACAACCTGGAAAAAGGAGCAAAAATTATGTGAAAATGCGTTTCTTCAAGTTTTTTTCTCTACACACATTTCAATCTATAGTATTTTGTGCTATAGCCTTTATTTTCAATTTATTATTTCACATCTGCGACTTATACTTTCCACGAATTTTGAACACTTGGCTTTAGATATGGCATACCAAGCGTCTAGGACGGCAGAAAATTTATCTTCCAATTTTTTTTTGTTAATTTTTCTTCCTGATTTCGATCCTAATTTCATTCCACAGGTTTTCCAAAGGATTTAAGTCAAAACTGTGCGCTGATCAATCTAAAACATCGATCTTTTCCACATTCCACTAATTAATATCTGTTTTGGACGAGCGCTTGGGGTCGTTGTCATCCTATCGAAGTCATATGGTGTTTCAAAATGTCTTAACACTTAAACTTGCCTATTTACACGTTTTTTCGTACAAGCAGACCCATGCCATGCTAAGAAAATGGACCCCTCATCATATAATTTCAGCCCCCTTCTGATATTTAGGATGATGTACAAGACTCTGGCATCTAGAGCTATCCTCTTGATTTTCGCTTTGACACTCCACACTACGTTTTCAAAAGAGGTCAATCGCTTCGCAATATTCTTTTTTTTGTCAGAAGTGAGTTTTTCCTGGAAATTCGCCCAAACAATTTAGCTCTAGAGAGTCTGCGTGATGTTTTTGTGTCCAGTGAATGGCTTATATCAGATGTTATTAGTACCGTTAGCTAAAATGACTCATTCTCCTTAATAGCAGAATCTGAATCGAATCTCTGGTCAGTAAAATTTCTTCAAGAAATATTCCAAACTTTTGAAATTTCTGTCAATTTCTGCCACTTTCTGCCTCAGCATAGTAATTTGACCCATTTATGTGTCCACAGCTGTATGTATACTTTGTGCCGTTTTTTCCTTATAAAGTTAATTTTTAAAATTTTTAGTTCATTTAAAAATATTAAAGTAAATATAATATGTAGCAGGAATGCATGTTTAAGCAATCAGCAAATCATTATTCAATAAGTAATAATTGTCTATAAGAAAAAAAGCAGATTTTTGTGTAATTGAAGAACAGTTATGATTTTTTTAATTACACATCCCCAATAAATACTCAGCAAATAATTTTGAGTGAAATTTATAATTTTTTCTTTTGTTGTTGTTCACAAATATTTATTTTTTTCTATTAATTAAATTGTATTATCGCTTATATGCATTTAATATTCTACTATTATATGTACATATTATGTATCAATGTATGATACATGAATATAAAACAGATTATATTTTGAAATAATTGTCAATGATATCAATAGAAATGTTGCCTTTATTAATTGCATTTTTTTTTCAGATATATTTTTTTTACACATTTTATGCATTTTTACAGTTATTAATTGCACTGTCTATTCAATATTATTTTTGAATGGTTTATTTAAAATTTAAAATTTAAAATTTGTTATTATTTTTCGCTTTCTTTTTCGATAATATTTATTAACAATATTGTATGGCTTTGAATTTTACATCTATACATATATTTATATAAATTTTCTTTGCATTTTTTTCTCTTCTCACTTTTTATTACATTATCTCTCACCTCTACACTGGCATAATGCACCAAATCAACTACTTGAATTTTGAAATTGACCAACAAAATTTTGAACATCACCGCAACAAAAAAAAAAAAAACAAAATTAACAACAAACCAAAAAATGAAAAAAAAACTGTACCATTTTTCAATGGGCACGCAACAGCAGCGAGTTACGCCAGCTCAAATATTGAGAAAGCCGGCAGTATTCGTTCGAAAACCAAAGCGGAATTTCTCGAAAATCTCAATGCGAAGCTAGCCAAACAGGGTCTATCCGGTCGTGCGTTCGCTGTGCGCAATTTAATCAATAGCAAAGCATTGGTAAGTTGACACGAATTCGGACAAGCAATTGGTACAATAACTACGTGTATATAAGTACAATTTTCATTTTAAAGCGATTTGTATTAAGGAATTTTTATTAAAATTATTTATATTAACTTTTATTATTATACATATTTACATGTGTATGTATGTTACATATGCATACATATAAGCATTTTGTGCATTTTGAAAATTTGCTTGTATTACACCTGATGAATGATGAATCCAATAAAAATTTGTATGTATGTACGACCCAACCCTACCCTTAGATGTATCAAAATCCACAAACACTTATGCGCCCGAGTGCACAATATCGTCCGCAACCACAACAACAACAACACCCACAACCACCTTCGTTGACACCGCCTCCTGCCTCAGCGGCAGAGTCCCCGTCGCATTAAGGTATTCGTGAAAAAATTAAAAATTCTGCAATCGCCTGCTCGCGCTGGAATAATTTAAAAATGAACGTTCTGCACTGCCGATTGGACTAAACCACTTACCCAACGCTTCATTGCATAACTGTACAATAATTTTTAATATCTTTTAAAGACATTAAAAAAATGTTTGGCTTATTTTATTTTTAATCTCTGCACGTTTAAAAAGTTTCTCTTATAAGGTGCGGAAGGTATTTAATGTACCGTTACTTACACACTAAAATAACAAACGAAAATTCAATTCACAATTTTCGACTAAAAAATGATTAAAAAAAATAATAATAAATAATAAATTTATCTGACTAAAGGATATATGTACATATTTGTATTTAATAATAAATTAGAAATACATACATACTAGAATTATGAATAAATTATTAATAATTAATTTTTCAGTTCGTTAATGATCCATTAGCTTTTATTTTGTAAAAAAAAAATTTGCATATTTATTTCATAAAATATCTCTAAGGATTGTTTTCAAAATGAAAATCTATTTAAAGCAAAAAAATACAATTAAGTTCCAAAAAAACCGTTTAAAATTCAATTAATCTCCAAACAATCCATTAAAAGTAAAAAAAAAAATAAAAATTTCCAAACATTATTGTTCAAATAAAATACATTTAATATAAAAAATTCAATTAAACACCAAAAAATTCATTAATAATTAATATAATTTCCAAACAAATCATTAAAATTAAAAACAGAAATATTAATTTCAAAAAAAAAAAATTAGTTAAAAGTACAAAAAATCATTCACTTATTTTTCACATTAACAAATTTTTTTTTTTTTTTTTTTGATAAAAAATTTTTGATTCTGAAAATTTCCATTAATTTCCAAACAATCCATTAAAAGCAAAAAATAAGTTTAGGATTTCCAAGCATTATTTTCCAAAAAAAAAATCCATTTAAAGTAAAAAAATCAATGGAAATCCGAAAAAATTCAAGATAATATTTAATTGATTTTCAAGCAAATCATTAAAAGTAAAAAAGAAATAATTAATTTCCAAAAAAAAAATGAATTAAAAGTACAAAAAAATATTCACATATTTTTCACATTAACAATAAGATTTCATAAAAAGTATTACTTAATTTTTCAAGAATCATTTTTTATTATAAGGCCCAAAATTTAGGATTTTTTGACTTTCGCTGGTAAAAACTAATGTAAAATAGCAAAAACATAAAAATTATGCGTGCTTAAACTATTTTTGTGGCATTATTTTGCTTGAAAATATTGACAAACGACATGATTTAATGCGCATTAACAGCACTTACGTGAATTAACTCGAGCATTCGCTATTTTCAAATTAATGCCATATAAATTCACAACTTTTTCCTGCATTTAAATTTTACCACGATGAATTGTGATTTGCATTAACCGAAAACTTTTTATTTCAATTTACATAAAATACTCGTATTTATAATATATAAATTAATTTAGTGTCATATATGTTTTTTATTCAACTCTTATTAATTTACTAAAACCGATTAATATGCTTTTTCTTGTACATTTTGCAATTTTGCTTTGGAAACCAATTAAATTAGCTCTTCAAGTGTACTATATTTAACTTCTGCCATTATAAATGACAAAGTAAAATTCTTAATATAAACTTTTTAAGCATTTCATTATTTCCAAACAATGACAGACGACTGCATTAATGCGCATTAACCAATCGCAAAGTGAATTACCTGAGCATTTGCATTTTTTTGTTAACGCAATAAATTTAGATGCCATATAAATTTACGATGTATTCCTGCATTTAGCTGACTTGTATTGCTATTGATTTGCCAACTGCATTCGAAATTCAGAATTTTGAATTTGCAAATGTGCTGTGACAGAATAAAAAATTAATTAAACATATCAGTCATTTGCCGAAACTAGCGAAATAGACAACAAATATTTAGACTTTTTTCTACTTGAAAAGAAAAATAGAAAAATGAATGTATCAACTGTTTAAATGCACGAAGGTTGCCATATGTCGTTATAATTATTTATTTTCGCAACTTAATGCAGATTTATTTCATTCGTCTGTCAGCAAAATGTAGTGCATTAACTTTTAATGCAGCATTAATTACAGAAAAATCATGCGCGTTATGTCTAAGAGACTTAAGTAAATAAATAATCCATTAAAAAATTAATGAATTGGTAACCAAAATGTTTGTCATACTCACATAAAATCAGTAAGGTTTAATTGAAAACTAAACGGACTTGCATTTCAACACTATTTGGAAATATTTGGAATTAAAAATAATTGCTTTTCTTTTCACTTTTGCAGCCCGATCCTCGCATTTGCCACGAATCATTGATGGATCAAATCAAACGTGGCGCTACGCTGAAACGCAACCAGAAAATAAATGATCGCAGTGCACCGAAAATACATTAAAACAACAAATAAAAGAAAAGCAATAGCTTAGATGAAAAAGAGGCTGCTGCAGTACGGCAAAACACCAAACCTTAAGCTACTAAATAAACTCAATATACAAAGCAAAAGAATGCGACAATTCAAGAGTTCTACGTTTCTTTCATGATTTTTGGTTTTTTTTTTGTTTTTTCTTTTGGTGAGCGCTTTGAGGCCCAACAAAACCAATTTTTAGACTGTTCTTGTCGACGCTATTGAGGAAATACGAATAATAAATTATTAATAAGCGTACATACTTACACAATTTTAAGTACATATACATATATTATATATAAATACACATAAATATGCATATAAACATTTAAATAACACATATTGCAGTTAGTTTTAAGTGAAGAGAAATAAAACGAATCTAAAATATAATTTAAAGAGAAGAAAAGAAAAGAAAGAAAAAAAGAAAAACAAAGGAAAAATAAAAGTGAATTAATGAAACTGTTCCATATCTACATATATCCATATTATTTTTCAAAAATAAAAAACAAAAAGTTTGAAATAAAACAATAAATCGTTTTCTAATACAAAATACATACTTCAACTCATGCAAATACATATGCATACATACATATATATGTGCATACATACGTGTACATGTGTGTTGTTCATTATGAAAATTAATTTTTTTTAATATTTCCACCAAAATTTTTCGAATGTAGACATACATACTTCACTTTAAAAGTATAAACCTTAATAAACGGAATTGAATTTTTTTAATTTCTTTTTTTTTTTATTTCAATTTGAAAATATTTACTTTAATACTTTTCCATGAACAACACACGCATACGTGTACATATATTTATGTTTTCTATCTAAATATGTATGTATATGTTGTATTTCTTTGCTTGTTCATAGAACAGCGGCTTATCGTTATCATTTATAATACATATACATACTTACATACATACATATAAATACATATTGTAATGCAGTTACTGCTTTATTTTATAATTACAATGTAAAAAACATCTATATATACATATATATCATTGAATATTTCATATAAACCTTTACAATTACATACATACTTACCTAATATATTATATTATGAACATTAATTAATATATACAAAAATATACATATACATACATAAAAAAAATAACCAACCGAATTAAATTATAACCGCGTTGCGTATTTTTTTTTTTTCATATAATCAACTCGAATTTTTACCAAAAACAAACAAACAAATGTGAAGTGAAGAAGCGGTTGCGAGTGGAAGGAGCTTGAAAAAGCAACTAATTTCGTTTTAAAAACTTAATGTAGAATTTAACTTAGTTTCTACTGTTATTTAAAATCTTTTCATTACTATAACTTTTGTTTTGAATTTATAATTTACTTTCAAATGTATATATGTATCGTGTATACCGATTTAAAGCAAGTTAAAAATAACGCTATTTTAACTAATAATGTATTTACTTTTTATTAATTATTAATTTATATACAATTAAATATTTAAATGAATAATATATATTATATATGCTGAGAAATTTGCTGAATAAAGAATTAAATTAAAAAGTTTTTGTTGTTTGTTTTTATTTCATTTTATTGTAAATTATGATTGCCAAATGAAATGAGTATAGAAAATGCGATCTATAAGATTTCTAAGTTTCTTATTATTACTAATTTTATTTTTTTAATTTTATTTTTAATTTTTTTTTTTTTCATTTTTTTTTCTTATTTATCACTACTAGCGCGTAAGCAAATAAAAGGCAGCAATCGTTCTTTGAGAGGCATTTTAATTGTACTAAAAATTCCACAAGTCAAATTTTCGGGTCTTAAATAAAAATTCTAAATCAAAACTTAAACTGTTTTCTAATGTATAAATGTAAAAAGACATTATATTTTATATAAATAATATTAATTCTATAATCACAATAAGTGCAGGCAGATAAACATAAATACACACATACAATTTATATACACACATATAATAACGTACAATGAAGAACAGAATTGTTAGAAATGCATTAATTTTTTAAGACATTGCAAGGTGTTTAAGCCATGAAAGGGTATGGGAGAAAATAAATTAAAAATCGAATTTTTTAAATGAATTTTAAATTGGAATTTTATAAAAAAAAAATTAATGCATTTTTCACAAAACTGAGACAAAAACAAAACATACATACATACATAAATATCCACATAATCGTACATCTAAGAGATTATAAATAACAATTACTATGTAAAAGGTCAATTGTGCTTACCATTTAGAAAAAAAAGACAGTAATAATAATATTAATACTCTGCTTTTCAAAACCATTTAAAACAATTTTTGAGTAATGAATGTATGTGTGTTTTTATATAAATAGTATTCATATCTGAAAATAATATCCTTAGGCAAGCGATATGCGTGAGTTCATATTACTTTCATAATTCGAAATTCATAACTCAACTGCCAAAATTTTTATTCGCCAAACTATTATTCGTGTTTTATGTATACATATATGTATGTCTGAGTAAATAATATTTTTAACGAAAAAACTAAAATCCACGTTAACATTTTTTTTTGCGCTCCATTTTGCATATATATATATATTTTTTTTTTTTTATTTCAACTTTTTAAAGAAAAATTTTGAGCGGAAATGCATTGAGGATAAATTATATAAATATGATATTTTGAATATCTCTCTTAAATACTTTAAAAAGTATTCTAGAAATTATTAAATGTACTTTTTCTTGTAAATGTGTAAGTCAAAATGTAAACTCATTTCAATTTTTGCCGAAATAATATTGGAATTGTAGCTGACAATATGAGGCTTGTCGCAAAACACAGCCAGATATATGTATGTATAGCCAAAACTAAATGTTAGACGTGAATAAAAATTCTATTTATTTTAATACTAGCATGGCGAAAAATAAGCTACTTGTATTTGCTGCTCATTCAGGCTGGGGTCATACACCATACATACATACATACGTATTGGCATCGCTCATATTTACATACTCAATATTAACCTAAAAGACTAATAATCATGTTATGCTACCGAAACGCCCAAATAATGCATATATACATACCTACATACCTAACTAGTGTACTAATTAATCGTATCAATTCAACTATACATATAACAATTATATACACAATAATTATATAATCTAAATTAATATACATGCATATATACAGATTCCTATGTGAAACAAATTATAACAATAACTGCAATAATTTTCAATAAAAAAATGTTTTTAAATCTTATTGACTTTTTGTCTAACATCTTGGCAGAACCTGAGTGGTAAAATTTAAATATTCTATAACCTATGAGTTTTCAATGTGTGTTTCTAAGCAATCGCATCTCCTTTCTTATATGTTGTATACTTTTAGGCGACACTATTTAAAAACGCTGAAAAAATTGAACATGTTGTCGTTAAGAGTCTGTACTCGTATTATCGAAATGCTTTTATTTTAAATTGAGAATGAATAAATGCTCATTTATTAGTTTTACTAAAAAACAACTTCATCGTATTGTCATAATATAACTGAGCCAATGTGGAGGCATCCTCTTCCTTAACCCCAGCGATAACTTCAAGCACTTGACTGAAAATTAAGAATACAATTAATGTCATTACTGTATTATTGTATATAGATGAACATATGTACATATGTACATATATTCGTATTTAGTTTTAGTCAAACAACGCACCTAATTTGACATGGCTCACAACGTCCATCCACTAATGATTCCGCGGTCCATTTCTCCTTTTTCTTCACTGCCGGGAATTTCGTTTGCACAAATTTGGCACCCGCATGCGATGGCCTTATACCACACCAAGGGCAATCTGTCTCCAACATAATGCATTCATTGGGCAATCTTTTAACAACTTCTAAATTTTCTGCCGTTTTTAATGAACAACCATTCAAGCCAATATAGAGACCACCGTAGGCTATCACTCTTTCTGCTTCTTCCAAAGTGCCATCGAAGCTATGAACAACTCCACCGCCACAGTCTAATAGTTTTTCACGGTTTCTCTCGAGTATTTCCATGAAATCTGCATGTGCATTACGGCAATGAAGGAAGAGTGGCAAATGAAATTCAGATGCCAAACTGAGTTGTCTTTCAAAATACTCTTTCTGTATATCTTTCTCACAGAAATGCAGTCTATCATAGTCTAGGCCACATTCACCGACTGCCACAATTTTGTCTGGATTTTCACGTATTTTCCTGCGTAAGCCTTCATAATATTGTTGCGGATCTGGTAAGAATTCACCACAACGCGTCGGATGACAGCCCATCGTAATGGTCAGTCGATCTATGATTTTATGAACACTTTAAATGTAGATTTCTTTTGTTCGTAATATATTTATTAGATACTATAAGAAAGCGAAATTACCATCATTTTTAGCCAAATTCAGTGCTTCATCTGATTCGTTCAGAGTGCCCACTGTAATGATCATCTTTTCCACGCCTTGCTTCCAAGCACGCCGCAATATTAAATCCAAATCATCTGTGTGCTTCTGCTTTCCACCGTAGACTCCTCGGAACATTGGATCCGTAAGGTTAGCACCAATATCTAAAAAAGGAAAGGTAATCTCAAGAAATTTCAAAATTTCCATAAGCGTCTCCTTACCAATGTACTTCATGGCCACTTTGAGATGTTTGAAAATTCGCATGCAATCAAGTTAAAATCTTGTCAGAAACAAACAAACACCCACCAGCTGATGACTTGACGATATGCCGAAATGGGAGCGTAGCAGCTGATGGATGAAATAGGGGTGGAATATTTATCACAGGAAATCGAAGAAGAATTAAGTCGCGCAGAAATTGTAGCGGGGATGAATCTGACATTAAAGTAAGTGAAACAATTTGATAGACGTTTTTTTTTTACCAATTTTCGACGCATCGTAGTATTTGGCCTCCATCCTACATTTGTGAGCAATTATTAATAAATCGAGCTATCGATATCTAACAAATATCGACACTCATGAACTAGAAGGCAAGGCTTTGGAGAAGCTACAAGATACCTGAAGATACTCTGCATACTATATCATTTGAAACTACCCAAATATGCAATTAAAGTTTAATCCTAATTTTTAGAATTGATGTTAATAAAAGAAAAATAAAACGCAGTCTGATTAATAAATACGCCTCAGCTTGTGAATTTAATGGCATTTTTGCGTTGAAAACAATTTTTAACACAACAAACGTAAAATGAAAAATACATGTAGTATGAATTTGAAATAATGGAATGGATAACTTATAAACTATTAATTTTTGAATTTAGGCTGTGGAAGCTGATTCTTTTCCATTAGTTGCCTCACTGTTTTCTTCCTTAGCAACTTCTTTACCATTGGACTCCTCATCGTCAGCTTCTTTTTCTTCTTTATCACTTTCGTCCTCGACTTCCTTAGTTTCCATTGTGGCAGTGCCATTACCATTTTTGGTCTTCACTTCCTTAACTCCAGTCGAACCGAAACCACCAGCTCCACGCGTGGTGTTATCAAGTCTATCTACTTGCTCTAATTCTGGATAAAAAATGCGCTCACAAATCAACTGTGCTATGCGATCGCCGCGCATTACTTCGAAATTTGTATCCGAGTGATTAAACAATACAACGCCCAAGTTACCGCGGTAGTCTTCATCCACGACACCGGCACCAACATCTATGAAATTCTTCACAGCTAAGCCGGAGCGCGGAGCGACACGTCCGTAAGATCCTTCAGGCACCTGCACCTGCAAGTCCGTTTTCACAACAGCTTTACCACGCGCTGGAACTATCAAATCATAAGCGCTGCACAAGTCTACACCAGCGGAGCGTTCCGATCCGCGCACTGGCACGAAAGCATTTTCTGTAATCTTTGCGAACCGCAACACACAATTTGACTCTACCTTCATCTTTTTTGGTGTAGGTTGTTCGATATCTTCCAATTTCTTCTTGAGCACTTCAGTCGACATCTAATAGAGAAAATGTATATATTTATTATTGATATTTCTTGCCAAAAAAAAATTGCAAAATACTAACTCACTGTTATAAAAGCTTTTTGCACACACACACCCGAGTAAAACCAAACGATTCTTCTTTCCTCGCCAGACAATTTGGAAATGGCTGATTTCGCAAATGAAGCCAAAATTCCCGCCATTTTTGACAACTATCGCGCATTTAATAGATGTTGTTGGTATGTTTACTGTTTTGTTTATAGGCCGGCAACAGCTGCTGCGAATACATAAAAGGTGGTATACGATGTTTGGTTTTGGTAACTATAAATGTCAAATATTGTTGTTATTTTTAAAAGCTAAGAAGCTTACCCATTATTAAATGTTGCATTAGAATAACCATGAACTTGAAATGGTTACCTGTTCTAACAAATTTCTTAATTGGCAAAAAAATATTGCTAATCAAATATAGGCGAAACTGATTTCTCTCGATAAATTGACAATCAATTTCATGTTGTATATGGTGATTGTTGAGAGACCACCTTGCTGAATTCTGCTTCTAACTAGAGGAAGGTGATCACCCCAAAGCAAATTTGTCTTTCCTTTTCCCCCCAAGGATTTAAATATTCACAGTAATAAAACACAATTTTTGTATCTATTATCTAAGAACGTATATGAATACGTTCTTTGCTATTATTTAAAAAATGAAGTGTTGGAAATCTCAAGGTGTAATACCGTTAATGATAAATTGTATAAAATAGCGCTAGCTAAAGTGTTCGCATTTCAAAATATAATTAACTAATTAATATCAAAGAGTTTAGAGTAGTCGCGCCCTTAAGAAAGAGATGAAGGCGGTAAGTTCTGCATATTATTTTTGTACCGAAACATAACCAGGTACATATGATTATATTCAGATCAACTTTTGCAAATTATTAGCACCGAGTTCTGCTTTTTAGCAAACTCCAATTATTTAGACCTAGTATGATTAGTAGATATTATTTATAAAATATTTTTTATTTAATGAATTTCGATACATTTATATATAGATATATATTATGAAAATAATGAAGGGAAGGCATACGTAAATGTTGACAAACTAGATGTCGTATTCGTAATTCTCAACTTTTCCTTGTGATGCTAGACAATCGCCTGCGATTTCCATTGCCAGACAACTAGTCCCACTTCCTAAACTCGGCACCTTCTGGTGGTTTAACATCAACTTTATCCTTGCCCACTTCATTCCAATTGGTGCTTAGTACTGTGCCACCGGACTCGGAAAATGATTTATTCATTGCTTTTTGCACCTCTGGTGATGACGTGGAGTATATTTTTCTAAAGAGACGTTGTAAAGCCTCTTCGCTCTTTGTGTCTTCCTCCTCAGACTTTTCCACTTCTTTAGCCAAGCTATCCCAGTCTTTTTTGTGAAGTGGTGGCGGTACAGCAGTTGGCGGAGGTAGTTCTTTTTTCTCTAAGCTCTCCCATCTTTCACCAACTTGTTTGAATAATGTTATTTCAACTTTTGTTGAATATGCTTTATGTGTTGATTTCTCCACGTCCACTGAGCGGTAAAGCTGCACATCAAGTTCGTAGCCATCGGCGGTCATAACCAATCGTTCTGGCTGGATATCCACTTTGTAATTCTTGCTAACGGCATCCTTTAACATTACGGTTACAACCACTTTTGTCTCAGACTGATACCAATCATGACGCACCGACATTTCTTTATACTTTTTTGCTGTATGCAGCGGTTCTAATAATAATGAAAAAAAAGTAAATTATTTACTTTGCTATAACTATTTTCTCAGTACACAATCAAATTTTACAAGTTGACAGCAGTGTTGCTTTGTTTTGATTTTCTAGAACTAGGAAGTGTTCCGAAATAACATGATTTGTACTATTTCGCGCAGGGTTGTATTTCTTAATGTTGAAATTTTGTCGTTTTACACTGAACAGAAATTATGGCATGGTAGTGGCTTATAATGTAGTAGTAAGATAACCTGCATGAACGGCCAAATGGGCCGTGTACATACCATAGCGAAAGCGAAAAGGTCATACACTGCGCGACAACCGATTACCACACCCTATGCTGCTCGTCTTAGAAACTTAATACCAGGAAAACTAAAAAAGCTTTTCAAATAAATTTTTTTCCCCTTAAAAGATTATATAATTTCACAGGAAAAATAATAGAAGATAGAATATACTAACTTTATTAATAACATTTTAAATTAATGTACTATTATTTTTGCTACAGCCGACTAGCACAGTCACTTGAAAACTTAAAATAACAAAAGAAAATGGGTTCAAACTTTATTCAAATTGTTTTTTAATATTAATTTAAATATTTTTAACTTTTTTTGAAAATAAATTAATAATGTGTTGAGCCTCCACGGTTAAGTATGGCTTCGTACATCCGATGGGATAAGGAGTCATATAATTTTTTTTTTCAATTCCTTCAATGAGTTCTGCTACAGTTGAAAACTGCCTGCCGGACTCGTACACCTTTCGTGCCAGCCATCCCCAAAAATTTTCTATAATGTTTAGGTCGGGAGAGTATGGCGGCCAAGTCAGTAATTCCACGTTTTGACCATCAATCCAGGACTTTACAATTCTGGCTGTGTGGATAGGTGCGTTGTCCTGCTGGAACTTCCATTTCAAGAGCCCAAAATATCCTTGATTGCAGGGAAAGCCGTTTTCAGAACACCTTTGTACGCAATGGCATTCATACTGCGGGTAAGAAACTGCAGTTCTATAGTGCCAAAATATGTTAAAGCTCCCCTCACCATGACACCACCCGCACGGCTATGCAATCCATCCAAAGTATGCTCTTCCTTTCTGAGATCATGAAAGTAGTAGGGATAGCCGTCAGTACCCTCTAAATTGAACCTTTTTTCATCTGAAAAGACTACACGCTCCCACTCCTTAGTCCAGGTCATATTTGATCGCCAGAAATTGAGTCGTTGCATCTTTCTAAGTTTATTTAGAGGTGGTTTTTTATTTAATTTTAGATGCTTCATATGTTCAGCATTCGAAATAACTCTTTGCACAGTCCGAACGCACGCTTTAACACCAGTTTTTTCCTTTATTTTGGCGGCTGAGTCGTGGGAATTAGATGCGTGTCGTAGTATGATTCGCTAGTCAGCTGCTGTTATTACTGATGATGGCCGACCTTTCATGCTTTTCCCATATGTATCCTCATTGTTTAAATATGCGGTAATAACTGCTGTGCTTAATATTTTTTGATATTTGAAGAAAAGAGTGCCCGCACTCCCTGTAAGCCTCTATTTTGTCTTTTTCAGACTCGTCCAACGGTTTTCCTTTGCCCATTATTACTTTATTTTATTAATAATTAGTCCCAATAAATAAATAATAAAATTAAACACCCAATCAAGGCAGCTCACACGCAAAAAGTGACATGAAAGCGAAAATGTGCTAATCGGCTGTCGCAAAAAACATGCATGCATTTTTGTCGCACTTCAAAGAAAAAAGCAAAGCAAAATAATGGTACACTTCCAGAGCTCACAGTTATACCCAGAATGAGCGAAAATTACACAGAATAAAAGGAAAAATAGAATACTCATGAAACATATTGAGAGTAGGGAGTTATTTTTCTTTAAACTGATAGGTTAGAGAGTTGAGCAGGAGAGGCCAATAACTAAAGCTGTTCTAGAGCGCGCAAGTACATAATCGAGAATAATCAGGGAAGATTCTATTAGAGATGCGTGCCCAAAATCGTTGGTTGGTTAGTAGTATGCTCAATTGAGTTTGGAACTTGGTAGTGACGACTTCTGTGTGAAGTAAATTGGGGTAAGCTGTGTGTTTATAAGAGATATAGAAAACTAAACAACTGATTTTTGGAATTTTATTTTGCAATCTAGTGATCCAACTCGAAGGATTTGTGATTTATCGATTTGTTGAGTGGATTAACCGTTTTATCTTATGCTCTTATATCGTGGAAAATGCTATTTTTATCATTTCCTACTTTCTTTGTAAGAAATTTCTGTCTAAATAGTGAAAAAAATGTGTCCTTTTAATTGTAGAAATGTATGGATGTATATATTTATGTTGCAGGAGATTACTTACCAAATTATATCGAAATAAAATGTTGAAGAGTTTCTCTTGTTCTTAACGTTTATTAGCTATTTTCCTTAGTTAATATTTTAGTTATGGACATATAATAAACAATTTCCTAATTATAACATAATCCAGCCAAGTTTTTACGTTCCTATTTTTATGACATTTTTATATTATTTCTGTTTATGTACTGCACACTTAACATATTTGACGACCTTTTTTATAAACTTCTATGTATGCCTTGACCCTTACTATCCTACACTGCAAATACATATGTACATACACATTTGCATGCTTATGAAGCATTTTTTTTTTGCTCGGAATAACGAACCGTGCAAAATTCCAATATGTGTTTTTTTTTAATATTTTTTTAATTTTTTTTTTTAATTTATTTTTACATACATACACAGGACTCCTCGCGAAACTTTCAACAATTTCAATAATTTACTGCAAAAATATTTATGTACTTCAATTTATGTAATTTTCAGCTTGATTACATATGTACATACATCTATGTTTATGTATAATTAGTTTCAATTTGATTTTATAAATGGTTTTTTTTTGTTTGTGTCTGTGTGCTTTTCCATCGCCTTTGGGATTTAATTTTTCCATACGTTTATCAAATATTGACTTAATTATATTTAGCAATAACGAGCTTGGTTTAATCTTTATAAAAAAGGGAAATTCATATATTTTTGTATTATCGCATTATTTTTGATTTAATTTGAGTTTTTAACAGATTTTAACTGCATCGCATACGCTTAAGTATTTTTCTCAATTAAATGAATTATTTTCGTTTAGTGATTTATTTAAATTTTTAACATTTTAATACAAATACTACTTTTAATTTAACCTACTTTTTGTTTGTAATTTCTTTTTTATTTCATTTGGTTTAGATCACAATTCACTTTGCATCGTTTTCATTTGTTTATACACAGATGATTTACAAACTTAGTAACGGAAATTTATTTATATGTAATTTTTTTAATAATAAAATTTAGGCTTTTATTTGAAAATCTTGTAATACAGCAGCTGTAATCTCTTGCGCCCGATCTAATAAAATAACCTCAAATTGTTTAGCAATGACTTCGTAAACAGTGGGAAAAACAAGCAAGTTTTGTTCCCCCCTGCGGGTTAGGGGTACAAGAATTTAGCCGCGGTAAGGCACGCCTGTCGTAAGAGGCGACTAAAATCCAATAGTTTCCGCGGCAGTCGGGTCTTTATACCGGAGCCACCCGGATTTTTATGCGGCCATAGACTGTCAGTAACATTAAATATCCCCAAAAGGTACTATGGAGAATATTTTTGCGGTTACAACAACAACAACAGCAGCAAGTTTTGTTAAAATAACTTCGTTAAATAAAATGGCATTGCGTAAGCTAAGGAAAAGAAAAAACCGCAGCAAAAGGACCAAAGTAATTCTATATTTAGTTAAAATACTAAACTCAAAATGAATTGAATTTTGCCTGAAATGCTGGGAGTCCAACAAACGATAGAAGAAGAAAACAGCTGAGCAACCAACTTCAACTTATTAGAATTCGCCTTAGTAGATTTTAAACAATTATCGCTTCCAATTTGATTTTTAAATTTAAAAGTAGTAATTTATACAATCAAAGCAATAATTACCCAATAATTATAAGATTTAATTAATTGTTCTCAAAAGAAAAGAATTGAACCGATTTCTTTTAAAATTATTAAATTTGTTTTGAATAATTTTCTTGGGTTTTACCAACCGCATAGGTTTTCATTATATTACATTAAGTAATTACCGTAGTTTTTCAGTTGAAAGCCTAAATTCCCCCAATAATTAGTGCCGCCCTAATATTTCCAGTAAAAATTATATTCTTTAAAAATTCATTACATGAATTACGGTTTAAAATCTAAACGGGTTGATCAGATTTTTATAGAGTTTTTCTTAGCACTGCCGTTATAGCCAATCAAGCGACGACAAGTTTCCTTTTTCCAGACCTTATCGATATCCGCGATCTGAAGCCAGTCATCACGTCAATCAACCCGCCAAAAAATTGTCACAGGTACAGTCACCAACTATTTAAAAATGAATAACTGAATTAGGGCTGACACGACGCGCCGTTGTATTTACTTAAATAAATAAAAATGAAAAAGTCAAACAGTCAACGCATGTAAATGAGATGAGAGTTGCGCAACTTTTGGTGATGCGTTGCTTTTGTAGAAAATTTCGTAGAGTTGCATCGTAGAGTTACGTCAAACGTCAAAGTCAAACTGTGACACAAATCGGCGTTAATGTTCCATCTGCCAATGACTTAAGTCAAGCTTGCTTGCAAAAGATTACAGCTTAGATAAACCTTTAAACTTTAGCGGTTAAAGGTGAAATGAAATGCTTTTTCATCTTCTGAGTGTGTAGTTAGCAACTGATCTGAGTTTAACTTTCAGTTAATAGTGATAAATTCAACAGCTACATACATATAATCTCTCTTTACGAGTTAACTACACACTATGAGTTATAGGAAATATAAAATTAAATTTAATAAATTTTAGACCAAGTAAATATTAATATATAAACTTTAAATATTATTATTATTTTAATTTTTAATTATATTTTTAATATATTTTTAAAGCCCTGTTTATTTCCATTTTATTTGTTATAGTTTTGATACGCGTTTGCTAGTTTTGATTTTAATAAAATTACACATTTTTGATTTAAATATTGAATTTAAATATTTTTTTGTTTTATTTTATTTTTTAGGCCGATTTTGTCTTTTTATGATAATAAAAAAATATTATTTATAATGTCGTTTCAACAAATTA